GCTACGCCGAGCCCAGGCACATCCTGCAGACCCCCAGCTGCCACACTGGACCCAGGAGCATCCACATGACAGTATGACGAATCAGGTACGTTTTCAGCACCTCACCATTAGGCTCTTCGTTGGCTGCCGCCCCCTAACGGTGGGTGGAGCAGCCCCCTGTGATCGTCAACAATATCAATCACATGCAAAAGAACTGCAATTTTACTGAAACCCCTTGAGCCCCCACCCACACACACACAGAGACAAAATACACAGTCACGCATGCTTGGCCTGCTGCCAGAGTGATGAAGCCCGCAGCGCTGCAAGTCGTTGGAGAGCATCCTAGCGGCAGTCTCCTACTACACTACACACAGGCATGAGGATGACATGAGGCATCCATGGTTTGAGACTGCCTGGCAACCCTCGTCTGCTTTCAAAACATGTGACGAACGGTCTCGATGAAAAGGACATTAACACGGAATGCCACCAGTCAGGTGTGCTGCCAATCACCATGCGTTGCGCATATTGAACAACTTCACAAAGTAGGAGCACATCTGACCTGAGCTCGCCATCGTCCATTTTGGGGACGGCGTCACCAGGTGGATCATGACAAATCATGAGGCAAGCCTCTTCTGCTTGCTGCACGTTTACGGGTGAGACCGGTCTTGTGAAACCTTTGGCTGGCATGAACGGCCGCGGCCGACGAAGTCTGAAACGACTAAGTCACCACTGTCACTGTAGCGTTAAGACAACAACATATCGCAATTCACACCAATTCACTGCTCCATGCGACTGCAACGTAGGCGGTCAGCATTGCAGAGAGCTCAGTCATGGTGCTGTCTTGGGCCGAAGCTCCTTGAGAGCAGGCCCAGGAACAAACATGGATCAAAGAGGGAGTTTGGCTTGATCGAGGAGTCTCGAAGTGCTACTTGTCGTTCGTGTGGATACCTCTCATGCACTCAGCTCTGCCTGCGAGACGGTAGGCAAGGCATTCCAGGCTTTGCGGCTCCTGAAAAGAAGGAAATTCAGTCGGGGAAGCTGTCTCTTGGAACGTCCGAGGCCGAAGCTGCTGCTCTGCCCGCTGTCGGGCCAGCTCAACGGATCTGGTCGGCACATGTCAGCACACTCCACCCGTGTCAAGAAAGCAATGATGCCTTGGCCGGTGTTGCGACGGCACCATCGGGGTGTCTGGTCGAGACGCCGCGATCTGGCGAGGACATGACAACTCCAGGCACATAAAGCTGCTGAGCTGCTGCACCTGTGCCAGGGAAGGCGGTCCAGGAGAAAGTGAACCGATATGGCCTTCAGAACAGCACAACCACAAGGCTGCGCATGCCGTGCGCTACACCTGCTCGGCGTTATCTGTAACTGAGCCACCTTCCCAAGAATTCCACCACTGGCCCAATATCTTTGACTTCTCCTGGGTTTCATCGATCTCGTTGTCCCTGGCTGCAAGGTCCTTTGCCAATCCAAGGAGCATCAGTGAAATGCTTCTCGGAGATGCCCTTGACAGTACGGCTGGAAGCAACCTGGTGAAGGGCATCAAACCTGCGGCGGACTGGTGATTGGCGACTGTGGACTCAGGGTCTTTCGCGGGGACTTGCAGCACAGGGCTTGGGCGTCCGCCTGCTTCTGGACTGCGCCATCGAATCAGCGACTTCTGCGCTGGCTTTGATCTCGTCCTTCCAGCATTCGGAATGCAATGCTTGTCGAACAGATCTAGAGAAACCCACCTGCATGCGGTCGATTGCCGCAAAAGCATCAGTCTGAACTTCTTGAGCGAAGAGCGAAGCGTTACGCACCTGCCTGGGAGTGCGGAGCGCTCGTGAACAACATGAAGCCAACGTGCTGAAGCTGGCCACAGCAGTGACACTTCATCACGCATGACGGGAACCACCGAACAAAGCAAGTGACGCCTTCAACACGAAAAGACAAATTCTGGCCGAGTTGCTCTGCGGTATTGCTGAAAAGTCGCTGAACCTGGGCCAGAGTATCACAGCTTCATTCAGTTTCCACGGCCTTACCCTACAACTGGCCTACCAGCACAACTGTATGGCGGCTGAACCGTGGCCAATGCCTCGTTCTCAGCTGCCTCAATCAATGCGACTCTCTCTGCATCGAAATCCTGCAAAAGGGCGCCATCGCTCTCTGCGACTGTTATAGTCTTGTCAGAAAGTCTACTAAGCTCCTTTTGCAGCTTGTCCAAGCTGCCTCGATTGGAAGCTGAATCAAGTTCATACCGAGATCTGCTCACGCGATGCGATAGGCAACGTCTTTGCAGTCCGGGACACGGTATAATTCCTTCACCTCTTTCTCCAGGATGGCCTTGCGCTGCTCGATCTCCGCAGCTTTCTCGAACATGTTTTTGCCTTGGATAAGCCACGTCTACATACGTCCACGACCTGCCACCTCTCACCTCCGGCACTCGCTGTGTGTGAACTTACTGAGTGTGGCAGAAAAACTCATCGTTAGGCCCGTTAGGCACCGTAAGCAGGGCTGCACTCGCTGATGGCTGCGTCCTGGGCAGACAGGCTGGCGTTGAGCTCGCCCTCAGCCTTGCGAACCTCAGCCATGAGGTCGACACAAGCACCCAGCTCTTTGGTTGGGTTCAACAGTTGGACCCACATAGCCGCAGAGCTACGAGTAGCTTTCCTCTGAAGCTTTAAAGTCTCGAGCGATTTCGCTGTATGGAAGATGCAGGACACCCTCTTGTTATTGTTGCGGTGGAGACACCATGGCCGCCAAGCTAACATCATGCTCCTGCACCAGCGCTCAAGACATGCTCATACAGAGAGCGTGTCAACGAGCACCAAATGTGTCCTCTGACATTTTTGCCAATACCTGACAGGCTCCGGCACTCCCCTCCGAGCGGTCATCAGGTCTTGGCACAACAACTTTCACGAACACAGCCGTCCGAAACACACAGCAGGCCTTCGCATGATTAGCGAGCATCTCTGCCCTGGTCGTGAGAACTTCTTCTAGTCGCTTCTTTTCCCTCGCGACCTGGCAGGCTGGCCCGCCGCCCCGGCAGATCAGAGCAGTGGACATCTGACTTATCGCTGCAACGGTCGTGCGGATCGACGGAACCTGCTTTTCACCCCTGTGCTCCGCAGCCAGAATTCCATTTTCGCCTTCTGGCACGAAAAACTGCTGTTGCACACGTCTGTAGTCTGCAGTCTTCCCGAAAGAATGATCTGCCAGGGTGCAATTGGCAATCTCCTTCCGTATCCTCTCTGGGGTGCAAGCCTGTAACAAAACAGAACTATGTCAGCGAAACGCAGCAAGACACTAAGCCAGCAGTGATGAATACCCTGATGACTGCCACTCTATTCTCGGAGGATGCTGTGGGAGTGACGATGGAGGGATCCCAGGACTGCGTCATGGCCTGGCGCGGAATAACCCGCACACGAAGCCAGGATGAACGCAAATCTCCGCTAAGCGCTCCGAGGCTTGGGCGGTGGCCTGCTCCGAAATAGAGTGTGCTCTTCATTTCATTGGGCCGAGAGGCTGCGAAGTGTGGACATGGCTGGCAGACTCTCAACTGGCCACGCTGTGCTGATGTCCTCATGTCGAAAGCTGCATTGTGCGCGATCAAAGCCGTTTGCTCCAGCACGAGCGGCTCCTCACTTGAAGCCTGCTGTGATGCAACATTTAGGATGCGGCAGCCTATGTGACAATGGCGAAGGCAAAACTCTTGCACCTTGGAGCCTGATATAAATCGCAGGAAGTTCTGCAGAGCCGTTTTTCTTGGCGCTGCAGCCTGTGAGGCTGCCATCTTCACAAGTATGGCTTCCGAGAAAGGTCTTCCTGAGGAACCGACAGCGAGCAGATTTTCACAAAGGCCATTCACTTCAGACGCTTTGGAGTTGATTCTCCGCGTTGGTCTCAAAAGACCTTCGAAGCAGTTCGAGAACAGACATCTCCGAACACAAGTGTGGTGGCATAGTTGGGGTATGCGCTGTGGAATGACACTCCGGTAGAGCTCAAAGTTGAATAATTGGACGGAGGACCTGAGCGAAGCTTGCGTTGCAAAACGCGCTGACCCAAGCTGACATCTAAGCGTTTAGCAGTATGTTGGGCTGTGGACTTTGGAGACTTGGTGGTTGCACCTGCGCAGTCTCAAGCATGCGATATGAGTGAGATCTTGCGTCCAATGTTTCGCTCGCGTCAGAAGCGCAAGGCTTTGTCTCGGCTTAGAGCAACGAGAAGAGGGGCCCGGGATCCGTGTTCCAGGATTTGTTGCTTGCAAAGCAAGCCGTGAAAATTTCGTGCTGGCAGGGGACACAGGAAGGATCGGTGCTGAGTTGTACCTTGCTGTAGTTTGAAGATGTGAGCACTTGTAGTGCGAAGATGCTAGCACGTGACAGCCAGCTGTCTCCGTCCAAGACAATCCAAGACACCCGCGAAGTGAACATGTGCGATGAAATCACGGAGGGAGCACGCTTCCACGACTGTAAAGAATCATGCAGCCCATCTTGAGGCCTCTTGAAGAAACTTTGACCCTGGCCTCCAGCTCAATGGCACCAATCTCCAAGATCTCGTCGTCGTTGCTGAAGCCTGATGTTTCTGTGTCGAAGACCTCGGACTGAAAGTGCAAATACCTTCTCGGCTCGGTCAGCGAAACAACCGCCTGAGGATCCGACCACCACGCGCGTAAACTTTGCAGGCTCTAATGGCAGCAGTCGCCACCAGTTCTGAGAGCAGCGGGACTTGCTTCCGAAAGCAGGCCGCGTGGTTGCATTGCTCAGGCATGCACGGCTGCTGTCATGGATTTGTGCAAGAGGCCTGCAGCCTGGGCAGGATTTGCCAGGGTGCAGCCCTTGCGACACGTGGCCCGAAGATGTGTCACAGCTTTTGCACAGCCCAAGGCACGGCTGGATTCTCCGGAGCTTTCGCTTCGTGTTCGGACTGCTGCGGCTCCTTAGCTCTGGACTGTGGGGTAGTGGATCTAGGCCGGCCCCGGCAAGCTGCCGAAGTCTAGGGCTTGCGATCCAGGTTCCAGGAACAGCAGTTGTGGCATGTGACGATGGGAGGATGCAGATTAGGTCTCGGTGTCTTCCGCATTCTGTAGCTCCATGTTTCGAAGGCACAGGGAAGGCTGCGAAAGACAAACGGCCAGGCAAGGAGCGATCACTGTCCCGCTCACGGCTGGAGCGTGTGAGGATCCCACGCCACATTGTCTCGGACATGCATTGGCTGGATGTGATGCAGTGGCACATGGACATAATGTTCACGGCACAATGGATGCTCTGCACTAGTAGGCGTCGGTGTCAACAGTTGATCTTTGAAGCTCGTTTGCATCGTGCTTTGCTTCATGTGCATGAAAAGTTGTCTGAGCCAGAAGTTCGAGCTCTCGTGCCCTCGTCAGCTGACTGCAACGCAGACCCAGGGCACCTGTGTCAAGAGGGAAATGGAGGCATGACGCGGTTCCGAGACGGGAGCTCTCCCGTAACCTGAGCCACTCTGTCGCCAGGGGGAAAGCGGAGGCTGCCAAAGGATTGAACAAATGACCCGCCTTTTTTTTCACTCCCTGACACCATGCGCGGGCTCATGCTGCCGCTTTCAGCTTGGCACCCCGACTTTTCACCGCGACGGTGCCACCGTGTGACCATGTGCCATTACAGCCGGCACTCGCAAGTCGCGAGCACGTTTGAACAGCTCCGACTTGATCTACAAGACTACACGCATGCCTATGAAAGCGCTGCGTGCCTTGCCGCACTGCGCGATGATTTCTTGGGGTGCTTGCAGCGCTTCCGGCATCGCGACGGGGTATCCAAGTATCCAGCTTGCCATGGCAGGATTTGGCAGGTGGGCATGCGGCATGAGTGCCAGTCTGCATAGTCAGGAAGAATATGTCGCACCCACGCCTTCTGCGAGTGATCCGCTGACCGCCCCGACATCTGCAGGCAAGCATCAACTCGCCGCTATGTAGTTACAGGCCTGTCCACAACATGGTCTGCAGCGCACAAAATGCCCCACAACGTGCGCTCGTCTCTGCTCGAGCAACCTGAATCACTTCTCAAGAGGCATTTCACATCCGGACTCAACTGCGAGCAAGCATGAACACAGTGCTAAAACTAGGACTGGTGCTGGGAGGAAGGCGAGCATCCCAAAACGCATCCGCAGCAGCATCTCCATTCCGGGCCAAGGTGAATTTGGCTTCGCCCATACCATCCTCGGTCCAGGGTGCTTTCGACCCGAGCATGAGCACGAAGTCGTTGCAGGACTGCCGAAGCTCGGCTTGCCCCAGGAGCCAGCAGGACAAACAGAGGTGTCGAAGACGCCAGGCGTGCTGACCGCTAGCTGCCCAGCCTTGGCCTGCATGGGTGTCCTTGACAAGCTCTCCGCTCTCGGCATCCCAGCCCCAAGAGAGCAGGATGAAACGAACGACGCTGGCATGACAGGCGATGTAATCAGGATCGTCTCGCAGCTCCTGAAGTGCCTCTGGGACAAGGGCCATTTCCCCGTCTGGATGCAGTGCCGTGGCTTCATCGATCGGCAAGAGCTCGTCGTCGTACCGAGAGTAGATTGGGCCGAACAAGAACCAACTCTCCAGGTCGGCCCAATGCTTCAGGCTGCGAGCAGTCACGCTATCAGGCGCGGTGCCTTGGAACATCGCGTGACGGCACCGCGCCGCGATTGTCCCCTTGTAACTGCCGTGCCCAATCTCCGAGATTTTGCTGCTGCCTTTGGATGTCCAGGTTTCAGGCCAGTGGAGATCCACCGGGCGCTCTATGTACAGGAGGTTACTGGTAAATGGCACAGGGCTGTCGCATCGCAATCCCATGCGGCAGAAAGGAATGCACTGGGTCATCTCTGCTGCAGAAGGAGATCCCCAAATCTGCAGGAGCCATCCACTCTGCCCATCTCCCGAGGCGCCTTCAGCAACTTTCAGTTCATATAGTCGCGCTACGGAGATGGTCACAGATTTGACGGAATGGAGCTGAAGCTTCGCGCCCTTCTCGGACCACTCCGCCCTGAGCTGCAGAGCTCCGCGGATCTCTCCTCGAGGTTGCGGTGTGAGATGAGCCACGTCCGCGCCCTCCGTGCCGAATCCCGGGTGCGGGGCCCTCAGCATCACGCTCTGCAGCGTCCCTGCTTGGGCCTCGGCCTCCTCCTCCCCCTCAGCCTCCTGCTGCCCGTGCTGCCCGGGCCCGGGTTCTTCCAGGAGACCCGTACCCCAAACTGCCTCCCCAAGCTGCAGCGAAAACAGAAGGGCCGGCATCTGCAAAACTCCCGCGCCTCACAATATGCCAAAACGGGCTTATCTCGTCCGACAACTTCACAGCACAAAAGCACGAAGCTCAAGTCTAGACCTTAGAGCTAGAGCGGCCACATTGACCGTCCTGGATCTCAGATGGCAGCGTTGGAATGTGTAGGCAACCATTTCACGATGGCATGAAGGCGCAAGTTTTAACCAAGCTGGGCACCCGGGAAGCCGCGGCTCTCTCCGTCTGGCAGGACAGGCCGCACACCTGGTCGGCCACACTAACGACATCGCGCGGCTTCTGGAATCTGTCTCTGTGTTTGTCACACTTCGCAACTGTGCACCGGACAGGCTGCGACGTTGCTAGGCATGACCCGCAGACGATCTTGTACCAACTGTGATTGGCACAGGCCTCTCGCGGACTGTGCCGAAGCGCACGCGATGCACTTCTTCTTCCGTCAATGATTCACAACTCATGGCGGTCATTGTGCAACACAAGGTGCATCCAAAAGGGCAGGATAGCAACGATATATCTTTGGAAAGCTGGGGCCATGTCATCTGCGAATGCACAACCTGCAGCAACGAGAACTCCCTCGTCCGGACAATGCAACACTCTCACAATTACGGCAGTCATCAAGACACGCTGAGTCTAGCACACACTCCGTGTCCAAGACTGAACGGCTGGGCGGCCAAAGCTATTCATGGAGGCAGGGGCAGAATCGACAAGAACCTTTGCAGGCTGCTGTGGCAGTAGGCTCTTCTTGAAAGCTTGACGATATGTACTCTGAACAGAGTTGCTGTCCGCATGAGCCAAGGATCAGGATCGGAGAGCGGAATCGTAACGGTACTAACGCGCTACTGTACAGAGTCCCAGCGGGAAGCTCTCAGGCTTTCAGGCCTTAAGGCAATCCCTTGAAATGCTCAGGCAGAGAAGACTTCGCATCATTACATCTCGGATGATCACAGATCTCAGAGGCAACTTCGAGAAAGGGAGGAACGCAACAACGTTACGCAATGTCTGAAGCCGCGAGTCGTGCTTCACGCAGTCCAGCGAGGAATACGGAGCTCAGAGACCACATGCATGCAGACACTGTGTGTCAAAGCAGCAGTGGAGGACTGAGGTTCTGCACAACATCATGGTGTTTGTGCAGTCTTACACTGAATGCACTGACAAGAGATATAATTATGTGGTCTCGCAACCAGTACACGGTTTGTCTAGATATTTCCACTTGCGCCAATGCTTTTCAGAGATTGACGCTTCATGTAGGCAGCGTTTCTCTGCACATTTTCTCTGGCTACACTCATGCCCGCAGATTGACATCAGGTTTCGGCGCAGCGCAGAGGAGGAGCACCAGCGCTTCTAGGGGACTGGTGCAGGCGAGCGATCGGCAGGCACACCCGTGCTTGAGCTGCCAAGAGCTCCCTTGACAGCTCGGGCAGAATATCGTCGCTCGTGAAACGCAGCTCATCGGAAATCGTAACCCGGATCGCATCGCCTGGGCCTCGGGACACAGCAGCTCCACCCGCGGCCGGATTGATAGGCAATGGATGGGCACGGAGGTGTCCGAAGCCACGTTCTTAGGGCTACACGGTGGGCGATCATATCCAGAGGCCTTGGCAAGCACCTGCACCTTGTCGGGTGCCGGCTTTCAAGATGAAGAGGGACCACGGCAGGACTGTCCGGGTGGCAGGCAAGCTCCTCGAAGTCACCGTCCTCATCCTCGAAACGGGTGCGTGTGATTTCAAGGTCTCTGCAACGCCATTAGGAAACCGGCTGGACCTCCATGATGACCTGCGCTGCCTCCAGCGGAGTGTATCGCATCCTTGAGCTGCGGAAAGCTGTCACTTTCGGGTGTGGTCTTGACAGTGACCCATCAGGCCATCAGGAGCAAGCTCTGTTCTTTCCCGAATATGCGGATCGGCACGGGCCTCTCACATCAGATATCACCGACATGATGTGCTATTCTGGCTATTCTGTGTCTGTCTTGCAGAGCTCCATGCCTCCAGCAGGACCTCCACAAGCTCAAGGCTTCCAGCCAAGGCAGCTAGCCTCACAGGGGCTCAGAGCCGGAGCAGTTTGCACGCTCGGCCCAGCAAACAGGAAGACAAGTAGGAAAGTCCCATATGCGTCATATACGGCTTTGACCTCTTACCTCCCTTCACACGCACCCTGTCAACTCCCATCCTGATTCCACCGTCCGCCTCGGGCTGACTGCTTCCCGAAGTCTACCCACCGAACATGTAGCACTGCACTGTGGACAGTGGCATTGCAGTCCGTTACCACAGCACCCATGCTACCCTGAAACTTCAGAAGATATTCAACAGGCCCAACCCTCTTCTTACCGCGGGCCGGTGGTTGAGCACTTTGAAGAGGGAATCCACGGATTTGTTTATCAGATTATCAGCTTCACGCGAGAATTGCCCAATCGCCGACCGCGCCAAACGCCTGTTCTTGATGCCTTTGGGGGGGCTTCTCGCTATCTTGCCCTATGGGTCAAAGCCGGGGAGTGGACGAGTCAATACAAATAAATGCGGTGCGAAATCTTGCAAGCTCGACACATTCCACGGCACATGCATCTCAGACAACCACCCCCCGACAATTCAGCTCGGGGCATGAGAGGAGTCCTCCCGTGCACAGGGTCCTGGAAGTTCACATCCTTATCGGCACAGGCATTGCATGCTGCAGCTCCGATACAGGTCAAGAGCCCATTGTCTACTGCCCCAACAATTTGCAGACATGGGACAACTGCTGCGGCGTCCCGCAGTCGGAAAACATCTCTTCGAAACTCTGGCTGGCCAGCTAAAATCGCTGCCGCCCATTGCATTGTGCAACATGTACATGCTAGAGTGTGGAGCTCTCGCTGTCACAACAAAGGACTGTGAAAAGTCCCCGACACGAAGAAACATGAGAAAACTCTTGGACGTCAGTTTGACTGCATGGACTGGGCTCCGCAAATTTTCCAGCCCTGAAATGATGTGTCATGATCGCACCAGCCACACCGAACTTCTTCAAGCGACATGCTGAGATTCTAGCGAACTCGTCAGAGTGAAACTCCAGCATGTCCTGCACCCAGCAAACCGTCCCAGAGAGCAACTTGAACAGACCCCTGAGATTCGCCTCCACTCGCTCCAGGCGGCCAGCTTCGACCTTTCAGCATGTGGGCTTCTGTAGAAACGCTGCCCTCGCATTGAACACATGAAGCACCAGTCAGAGTCAGTAAGCACGCAGCATGATCTACGAAAGCTTGTTGAATCGAAGATGCCTGCAGGCAAAGTCCGAGGGATCTCTCAAGATTCATCTGGCTGTCAAAAGAACAAAGGGGCTTCAAACACCGGCCAAGCAGAAACAGCTAGCAGCTAAAGGGCATCAAGGAATCTAGGCATTCCTGTGAAGCTTGGTGAAGCTTGCCTTGCTGAACAGCTGTCTTTCGCAATCACTTTCCTCAAAGATCTGAAGCAGGTTCATTACGGGGCCGATACCCACAGACATCAAACAGAAGCTGCAGTCCTGTGATCTCCTCGCGAGCGCCCCGTTCTTGGAGTACCAACCATTCTCATCAACACCACCCAGTTGAAAGTCGAGCCTTTCCAAAGAGTTCGCTTCGGTTTGCTTCTGCCACGTGACAGCGCTGCGACCACCTTGCACTTGAAGCTTCCACTGGCACCAGCGAGGCATTGCGAGACATATGCCGCAGGCTCCTACCTGCACGAGATCGGAGTGCACGTGACAAGAGGTCTTGTTGTATTGTGCGCGTCAGTCTCGGGGAGGCCTCGCGCAAGCCTTCGGCACGGCGCGTTTCCACAGAGGCAATAGACGCGACTCGATCCCCATCTGCGACTCTATCATAGGCTACTTGCCATTCGCATGACGCGGATCAGTTCTACGACAGCCTCACGAACAACCTTGTTCTGCACCTCTTTCCAATCAGTTCTGCACGTGAGCACGGTGTACGTAGGTGGAAGATGTTGTTAAAAGATGACAAAGTTGATAGGGCATGTCGCTCTGACATTTTTTGGTATGCCTTAAGCCACTACGCTCAATCTCCCTGGCAGTTTTTTGTCATGTGCTGGAGTACTGCCACAAAAACAGCAATAGGCAGCTTGCAAGTTGCAGGAACCTCTATCAGCTCTAGCATCGCGGCAGAACGCCCACTGCCCGTCTTTCAGCCGCGCCAAGCAGCCCATCTACAAAGTGCATTTCAAGTCAGGATAGTCCTGCAGGTACCATTAGTGTCTCAGGAGGACCTGCCAGATTTGCTGCTCAGCGAATCGCGCGTGCAGTCCTTGCGAATCTGTTCGAAGTCGGAAAAGAACTTCCTGAGCTTGGACAAGCGTAAGTCTAACAAAGTCAAACTGACATCGAAGCAAATTTAGGCACGGGATACATCATATGTCTGGTGGCCGAGTCGCATGTCATGAAAGAACGGGTTCGGAGCTGGCTTTGCGACTCTATCGGGATCGGCCAAATATGTCAAGGCCTTGTCAATGTGTGCTGGATCCTGGCACAAGAGCTGCTGCTTCATGATTGAACCATGGCATCCAGCCCCCGGGCATCCTTCTCCGCATGACCGAAGAAGAAGGCCACAGGCACGCCTTGCCAAAGGAAGGGTGTGCGTTTTTGTATAATATAGGGTAGTAAAAGCGACTCAAAAATCCTTCATCACACTGTAGGTCGGTTCACCCGCGCCTTTCGGGAAGTATCTCGAGTCGTCGTAGTATGGATACGGTCCAGGAGGATGCTGGGCGTCAAGGTTTTCCCACAGGAAGTTAATGCCGCCTCTCAAAGGCCCATCGCCCGAGCATAGAGAGCATCAGTTCACGTGTAGATAGCAAGTGCTAGTAACACCCAGCATCCCAGGTGAGGGCTCAGCAGCTCAGCATGGACCCATTGCTGCTACATGATACTTCATGCCATTCTACAGTACTGTAGACATGTGCAGGTCACGGCAGCCAATCCCGGAGTGCGCCTGTCTGAAACGCACCTCGAAGTCACAAGGTCAAGAATAGAGACGCCACTGCGCTGATCACCCTTCCCCAACAATGCACTCGGATGGAGGTGCATTTTGAGCTCAAACCTCAACGCCAAGCGGCACCACGACTTTGTAGCACCCTCTTGCCTCGCACAAATCTGGGGATGCGAGATGTGGCTCATTACAGCGTTCTCACTCACACTCGCACGCTACGTTTAAATCACCTGCATGGCTCGGATGTATTCATATTCGTAGTGTACACTACCACATGCCCGCGTGGCAACCGGTAAAGTGCGTGTGTTAAATTTCGGACATCACATGCATTTTCATTGTGGGCATGTTGTGGACGAGGCAATACGACGTCATGTCGAGGTCATTCCAGGCAGATCATTCATGTGCACTGACAACTCCCGAATGGCCACGAAAGCCCCGAGAGCTATGCCCTAGTCTTTAACTGGCGAGCGTAAGGCCTCCACTAGTACCGAACTTTGGTTCAACCAGGCTTCCACAGCGCCACGTTGAGCAGATCCTCGTCTTCCTTGATGTCCGCTGTTGGCACCCCCTGCTCCTTCCGTCCTCACGAGCTGTAGCTGGATTGACAAATGCCCGCTCACCAAGACGAGACTGAAACCTTGCCGTCTCTCCTGCGATCTTTGCAGACAGCCAGCGACTTAGGAAGGGCAGCGACCAGTACGTCCAGGTCGGCTGGGCCTACAAATCAAGGAGCTGGGCGGATGCCAGTGGCAAACAGCATGGGCAAGGACAGGGCCTGTCCCCACCGCATGGTCGGTGTTGGACAGTCTTTGCAGGTAAAGCCCAGGAAATTGCCCTGAAAGACAGAGGATGCCCACAGCACGGGCTGGCTCGCGTCTGCAGAGACAGCACCTTGTGCAATCTCCTGGCGGCTTCTCTGTCACGGACATCGCGGTCAAGAAAATGAGTTGGCATCATGGGATATGGATACCTGCGAAAAAGCTCGACAAAGCTGCTCGCGACCCTTCAAACCCAGATCACCAGCATGCATCGAAGAGGCTTCTCTGTGATTTCCTCGGCGGTGCGATTTAGAAGATGATCCGCCTGGGCTGTGACCATGAGCATGTCCTTAGCTTTGGCAGCTTCTTCACATCTTCAGCTTGTCAGGGCCACAACAGTTCACATGCAAGAATTGCGTTCGCACCAAGCCAAGCATCGGAGTCCAGGGAAGCTCCGACTTTGACCTGAACACTCGGGGCGGCGAAGACTGTCGGAACAGATCGCTGCAAGACTACTGACTGTGAGGGTGGAGCCTGTGCCAGCAGGACTGCGCGAAGCTTGTTGAAATTGAATGATATGGGACTTGTTGGCCTGAGGCCTCGTGCATGTAGCAGCCTTGGACAGCAGATACATGCACGGAATAGAGGTCACATGCACGCAAGATGTTGCGTTTGAGCTGACTTTGCTCACTGACTCGAGCTATCTCAGCAGATGCCAAGCAACACAAGATGGGGAAATCGCTTGGGATCTAGGTCCGCCGGCGCCTCTGCTGGAAACCAAAGCTGCGCAATTGCTGTGCACACACTTAGCACGCCTCCGTCCCGAAGTTGACGACAATCACTGGATGTTGAGAAAAACGATGCACGGAGTCGACCAACCTTTCCTGACGTCACATTCTGCAAAGGCGTGCCCCGTACCGTCGTTATTTCATGATCGAGGTGCCGTCAGCTCTCCGAAGATGCCTGGCAGTTTCGTTGGGGGCAGGCCCAAGCTGGGCAGATGCACACACTGCAATACGCCCTTGAAGCCCTCCATGAGCCCCTCTAACTCCCAGCAGTGGAAGTTTCGTTGAGCAGGTTTCGGAGCTTTGTTCAAGCACGCACAGGCTGGCATTGGATTGTCCACCCTGACCACCGTGTTTCTCGCTCTGCACTTAACAGTCCGGCGGTGTCTTGTTCTTGTGAGCTCAACAGCAGGTTTGCTTTTGGCATGTGTGCTCCCACGCCTTTCCCATCTGCAGGCACTGCCACGTAGTTGACCCATGCAGCATCTGCCCAGCCATCAGTGTTGTAGACCTATATGCATCGTGAGGCCGCCCTCGCACAAACGTCACATGAGATGGAAGGGATCCAACTGGGGCACGCACACTCTTGTAATTTGTTCGGAAGCGTCGATCTAGGTAGACTTCCATCAAGGGCAAATTTCTCTCGTCCTTATGTCGTCAAAAGCTGCCGAGCAATCCTCAGGAAGTGCAAATGCAGCATTGCATTGAGGCTGACACTCTGCAGAGGTTTTGCCACGCTTCCTCCAACTTCATGTTCCTGCTTTCCAGAATCCGACAAGGGCTTCGGACGCGACATGCAATGTCTCAGTGTGGGGGAAATGCTGTGTTCCATGCTTGGTGGGTATGTGGGAAGAAGTGCAATGGTGAACACGAGCTTCGATGTGCTTCGATCAAGAATACGCAGGCTACTGGTACAACCAGCGCCATGCTAACGAGGTGCTTGCCAAAATCTACTAAGAAGGTGCCGTGGCCCATCGTGCCGTTTTTGGTCGCGCGAAATGTTCCCGGGCGGGCACACCGCCCAATGAACTAGTGCCGGTGCCGGGATGCGCACGTCTGCGTCCGCCCGGCCCAAGGCACCGTCACTTCTAACCTTGTCCACGGGAGCCGGCATCCAGCCACCGCCGAGTCGAGGCTCTGGCTCTGCATGGAGTCGCATCGAGAAACGGCGGAACGCGGTAGAACTCCGGGCACCACCCCCGATCCGAGGCCAGGCCCCAGAACGCTGCGTCCTTGCCGTAATTAGCCCTGCATCAAGCCAACTGGCCCGCGTTGTCGATGAAGGGGATCCAGTGGGACAGCAAGCGCCTGGCGAAACTGATACGGGGCAGGATAGGATCTCCAGGACGTAGCGTCAGCGGCTTGGGTACAGTGAAATAGGACGTGGCGGAACCTGAGCATGTTCTCGTGGCCCGGCCCGGCTCACGCACCCCACTGGTGGGTGCCGGCTGCGACACGGAGGAGTCGTCGAAGAGGTCGCCCCTCTGCTGGGCCTGAGCAGAGAGCCCGAAACTACGGCGGGACACGCGAGTGCCAAACCTGGCTCACCAGACTGGCGGCGTATAGCGCCGATGCCAGCGAGGCTGATGATGATTCCCGCCCTGCCGGGCGACGGGACATTAGGCGGACCCGTTTGCGCGGTGGCGGGTCGGCTGCCGCGCCCTGTGGCGCGGACCGGTGCTGTCCCTATTGCGCCGCGGCCATCCTTGGCGTCTTGACGGCGTTGATCGTCGGGGCCCCGCCGCGGCGGCGATGCCGTCATGGCTTCCAGATAGCCCGCCACATCCATCATGATGCTGGTGGTGATCTCCTTGAAAGTGCGCCCCTGGCGAAGCTCCATGGCGAGGCCATGGACGTGGAATCCCAATACGCCACCAGCGGGCTCAACGTCGATGGCACGCGCCGTGCATGGCCACAAGGTCCCACCAAGACATTTACGCCGGGCCAGTGAGCACCCGCGCCCACTGGACGGCGTCGACCTAGCTATACTAAGAGCCCCGGAGGTGGAGGGCGCCTGAAGAGAACGCGTTCCGCGCCTTGGCGGCGAGGTGTTAAGCTCCTCGGCGGCGTACCAACCCGCCAGCCGCGGGGATGTCAACCTCCATGGAACTCGCCATAGGAGCCGACATCGAAGCAGGCCCCACGGCGATATCCAAGCCAACCGCCGCCAGGGTCGCCGCGGGGCCGGCGGCAGCGGCGAAGGAGGCGCCCGATGAAGCCATGTCCAAGCACAGGGCGAAGGGCGTGGAGAGTCAAACTCAAAGTCAGCGGTCGAGCCGGTCGACCGCTGCGTTTGTTCCTACTCGCACACGTGGGCTACTGCAACAAGGTTTAAATGACTTGCAATACTCATGAAGAACAAGCTCAGCAAATTGATGCTTGCACTCGCTCTACTTTTCGTCACCAAGCTGCCATGCTTCATGGCGCTGCCTGGCAGCTACCTCCAGCAATTCTGCATGTTCATCTCCGATTGGCACTTGAATCATGATACGTCGCCTTCGCATGTCATCCGGGCCTTGGAGCAGGAAAGCAGCGGCTCTTCTTCTGCATGTTCGCAGAGAGTTTCGCTGTTCTGGCGTCTGATGTTGGTCGAACCTGTAAGGGACATCGCTGCCAAGTTTTCACAGGCACACTGTGCGAGTGGCTCAAAAACAGTCCCTATTGCCTGCGATGGCCGCGAGCAGAGAGAGCAGCAGTAAAGCGTGTCTGTCAGGATCCACACAGCGCAGCAAGCCGTCACCCACGACGCACCACAAGACTTCCCGGACCTTTGTACATGAAGGACTACATTGCTGGAACGCATGGCAGGAGGTGAACCGTGAATGGCATGAGTGGAACTCTTTGAGCCAAGAAGACCTTCATTGCAAACTGTCCTGGCGAAACGTCTCAAGCTACCTCGTAAGACATCGTAAGACGTGTTGGTGCTTGCGGATGAATCTCGGTGCATCATGCCCATGAGCCCGTCGAGATGCTTTTCGGACAGGGCGAGCTGCACTTGCCGGGTCAGCTACAACTTCAAGCAGTGAAACGGTAGCAGAAAAGCAAGGCACACATCGAAAAGCACAAGGCAGAGGCCATCTTTCCAGAAAATCCGGGTACCCGGGTAGGGAACCACGCCGCAAACTTTTGCTGAATCCAATCCGAGCCCACCTGGCCTCAAACCATGAATCAGCTGCAGCTCAAGTTCCACCAGCTCCCCAAGCACGATTAAGTAGCGCGCTAGCACCGGCCGGAGCCACTTCGGTAGCGGCCGAGAATCGCATCACCTGCAGGAATCGAGCCCACGAGCTGCACCCTCAAGGATTTCCTCAGAATGCCAACCTTGTAGATCTTGTTGCAGTAATAGTGGTAGATTCGCTTCCCCTCGTGCGGCGGCTTTTCCGGTCCAAAGAGCGGTGGCCTGCGCAGCTCAGCAAAACCACCCCGTCGCTGACACTGCGTGACTCTGCACTAACAGTCAAAGTTGCAGCGATGCACCGTCTGTCCGCCCTGTAACCAACGCGTCCCCGATTTTGGCTATTGACCTGAGCTGCTGCACCACTTGCCTGCTGCCTTTGCTATCTTGCCAGAACATCCCGATCCGATGATATGGTCTACGGAGGGAGTCGCTGGGTCTCTCTAAACTTTGGTCCCTGGCTGCTTTGCGCCATTTGGCTCGGGACTTCAATCTCCATCCCTTCTTGGCCATCAACCTCAGGGGCCGGGCAGGCATGTGGCTGCTCAATAACGGCAGGCAGGAGTCCGGCGTAACGAGTGCGAGGCCTGCAGCAATTGGGCAGCAGCGGTATCACGTCACACTGGCTAGCAAGACAGACTGAGAACTCTGACCCATAGCACATCCCGGGACGGCAACGGCAACGGTGCTTGCGAAATTGTACCTGCAAAGCAGCCCAATCCTGCACCACCCTGGAAGCACATTGACACAAGACTTTAAGGACAGGACGATTGTCCAACAAATCGGCTTTCGGCACCTCTCCACACAGCCATGATGGCTTTCCAGGAGGAGCGTGCTCCACGCGCAGATGCTTGTGCCATGTCTTTGCAGTGTGCGTGCATCCCAGAGGCACCATCAACTATCTCGCCACGCACTGGCTGAAAGCGCGGCGAGTGCCTGGCAGATTCCGAGGCTGAAAGGAGGAAAATGAGCTTCTGCTGTGACACTTGGAGCAGAACCCGCGCAGGGACGAAGGCTGACCTGGCCAAGGCAGCTACGAGGCGATCTCGGAGGCCTCGTCTTCGGCTTGGGCCGTGGCTAAAGGCTGCTTCTCGAGTCAGGCAGAAGACCGCGGCCAAGGCCGCCTCGGGGAGCCTAGGACCTATGACGCCTATGAAGGCCAATGACCTCTGGCTTCTGGCCAATTTCTGGCTAACTCTGAGGTAACCACGGCCGCACACAGAAGCCTCATCCTAGCGGATGCAAGAAATCAAGCCTCGAATGCGGATTGCCCGAGAGAGTGACTAGACCCACAGTGCTGCGACCATGGCCTGGGAGTAGGAGCGTTTGACGCGCTCTTCTACCGTTGCACGCTGGCGAGCCAGGAGTATCACATGAAGATTGCCGTACTGACAATGGCATGAAGGACCGTCGCTGTACGGCTGCTTTTCCAGCGCACGGCAACATCAGAAATGACACAATCAGCACAGTGAGACCCAAGTGAGAACATGTAACTGGTCCCAAGCCTTCTGCGACTTCCTCATCGTGTTTTGAGGCTAGTTCAGCTTGGCACAGACAGATCTGGGCTGGACAGCCCGCGCAGCTCGACACAGGCAATTCAGCGATTCAATGTGACCTTGGTCGCACAAGTGAAAGTGTCGGATCGTAGTTCTTGTCGACGCAGACTATGTGTTCCCAGCGCTCTCTGGTTAAGAATCTAATCCCCCAAATGGTTGCTGGCCCTCGTCTTCTCCAACTAATGGTGCCATTGTCGGCAGACACAGGCTCTTCTTTTGACGCCCACTCGCAGCAAAGCTCGTTCAGAGTCGTGACCGTTGCGATCGTCCTTGCAGAGCATGGCGCCGGATTTGCTTCCGCATCGTCAGCAAAATCAGGCAAGTTACAAGGCTCTTTTCAACATCAGGTGGGCCTGCCATCGTCTAGCGCAGCCGGCGTGCTTCTCGCTCAGTCTCCAGCAGGGCCAAGATGTCACCTATCTCAAAACGCACAGTCGGGCTGGGATTGATGGGCATTCCTCTGAGGTTGCAGCCCTCACGCACGGGGCCCTTCACGTTGCGGATCAGAGAACGGCCAGCAAGCTCTGGGGCCGTCTCGGTCATGAAGACGACACCTCAGTCAAGCGCCGTGTCAGAATCATGTGTCCGACTCCAGCTGCACCACTGCTTGAAAGCCTGAATTGAGGGCAAGAGGCGAACCTGGATCACACCTCCTCGAGAACCAGTCCTTCCCAAGACCTTCTCGACCTTTGCCAGCTTCACCTCAGGACTTAACAGAAGCCCGTCCGTCCCATGCATATGTCCTATTACCATCTACTGTCCAGGTTGGGCACATCGTGTTCGAGGGATAGGGAGTTTTCTCAGTCCACATCATGTCTGCCGTCAGCCGCAAGGCAGGACTGCGCCATCTTCACGACTGCCCTACGACTCTCAACCACTGGGCCGTTTGGAAAGATAAGATACCCGTTGTTTGCAGGTTGTAGTCTGGCATCCTACTTCTACCGTGGGAAATGTCCCGCCTGCAAACATGGCCTGCTTGGTCCCATCCTACATAACTCCCGGCACACACTGGGCAAAAGACATTGGCCGAAGGAAGAACTTCAATGACCAGACTTTTCTCATTTTTTGCAGCGATCACTCCTCCAATGTTCTTCCCGACATCCTTCTTCCTGCCTTCCGTACTTACTCCCGCCCGAATACGATGATCCAGCTGAAGAGAAATGGACAGCTAGTGCGTGATGAGTACATATTCGAGCTGTTCGCAACACCATGCTTGTCAAGCAGCACCACCCGCGTCCATGGCAAAGAATGAGCTTCAAATGCTGCGAGGCTACTGCAAGGGGAATCTGCCAGAACCGCTTTTGGCCACGGAGAACGGACGCTGAGCGAATGTCACACTTGCTGTCGAAAACGCTGTCTGCACAATTGCTCTCCACTGTGGCCGCAGCTTGTATGTACACGTACCATGTAGCTCCGTTTCACCGAAGAGACCTGTCACTGCTGCAGCACCAACATGTTGTTTGTTTGCATAGCATGGACAGAAGCCAAAGCTAAAGGAGAGGATGTTAAACTCACGGAGGACTTGCCCAGCATGGCCTTCGGGAGGAATCGTGCCACTGCTCTGCTGCAGCTTTTCGTTGGGCCGACGTCGCAGGCTAGTCCCCACATCGAAATTGTCGGAGATTGCGTCTGCATGTCTTGCTTTATGCCAGACTCTCAACAAGCTCGCCTCTTTCTCACAATTGACATCATTAGGCTGTAGGCGACACTATCATCGCCGTGAAATCATCTACTTGGCCCCCGACGCTCCAACTCTGACCGCGCTGCGTCGTTCAAAATGAAGATTATAACTATCTTGTCAACAACACTGCAGAAATGGAGCCGGAGTAGCCGACGACAACGGGAGGGTTGTCTCTGCTAGTTCCCAAGTTAGCAACACGGGCAGCCACATAGTACGTCCACGGACCTGGGCGGCACCAGTTCCCGTGTCGTGCAATCTGATCCCAGGTCGGTTCACACCGGCAGTCGAGTTGCCCTGCGTTCCAGGCGTATCAACCAAAAGAGCAGCAGGATATTCGCTTGAAGCACCATAATCGGAGAAAACCTTTGACAGAGGCCGTTTAAAATGCCGTGGAGGACTCGAAGTACTTACTTTGGGCAACTGATTGCAATTCACCATCCATCATCCAAGATGCCATGTCCAATCCGAAGTCCTGACTGGTCTGCATTCACTCACCTGGCCTGCCTACTGCCGATGGCAAAGTGTATCCTCAGAGAAACCCAGGTTCTGGGCAGGTGCAGATGAAGCTTCCTGCGGGCCACTTGGCTTCAGAATGCAAGAGTAAGTAGATCAGAAGAGGACTCACGACACGGTGCCTGGCCTTCCTCCTGAAGATGGTGAAGTGGGCTTCGTAGAAGTGGCTAAGTGGGCTGCAATCGATGTGATACCTTCAGCCACAACCACATGGAGGATGCTAGAAGGCTACAAGCTTGAACTTCAGGCTCGCGGCACCAACAACACGCGGTCTCTCGGTCTCCTGACTGCGGACAGAAACCACAAATGTCTCAGAGGACACTCAGCTAGCAACAGCATCATGAAAGCTTTCTGCATTCGGCTAGCATTGAGATCTCCTGAGGCTGCAGGTTAGCGACATCCCAGGAATCTCGGTCCAACTACCTTCTGTGATTTCGGTGGGCTCTGTCGGCCGCATCGGCCTCACAAGACGTGCCGCGCTTCATGCATTACCGGTCAGGGAAAGTCTCTGGGGCAAGTGCCCAATCACCAAGTGGCCAGGCAAGCGAACCAACACCAACCTTGCGGTTCATGCAAGGAAGTGTGTAGCTGGAATTGCGGAGACTTCCTCATGTCCTCTACTCTCCCCGACCGTTCGTAAGCCTGTTGCTGCCGCTCTTTCTGAAGCGTCGCAGATACACCGGACCTGAGGGCCAGTCGCAAGTGAGAAAGCGTCAGCTCTCAAGGATACTGGATGATACTGGCTTGCGCTCTTGGACAGCAATGCTTCATTTGTCGTCAGCGTTTGGTTTGGTGCGTAGTTAATGGCGATGCCAACCATGCTTGAGTCAAGGTGCAGAGCGGGGTGGCGTGTGCTTTAGACGAGTTTACACTGCCGACAGCAACAGGCTCGTTTTTTGACGCCCACTCGCAGCAAAGCTCGTTCAGAGTCGTGACCGTTGCGATCGTCCTTGCAGAGCATGGCGCCGGATTTGCTTCCGCATCGTCAGCAAAATCAGGCAAGTTACAACACTTCCAGGCTCTTTTGAACATCACGTGGGCCTGCCATCGTCTAGCGCAGCCGGCGTGCTTCTCGCTCAGTCTCCAGCAGGGCCAAGATGTCACCTATCTCAAAACGCACATTCGGGCTGGGATTGATGGGCATTCCTCTGAGGTTGCAGCCCTCACGCACGGGGCCCTTCACGTTGCGGATCAGAGAACGGCCAGCAAGCTCTGGGGCCGTCTCGGTCATGAAGACGACACCTCAGTCAAGCGCCGTGTCAGAATCATGTGTCCGACTCCAGCTGCACCACTGCTTGAAAGCCTGAATTGAGGGCAAGAGGCGAACCTGGATCACACCTCCTCGAGAACCAGTCCTTCCCAAGACCTTCTCGACCTTTGCCAGCTTCACCTCAGGACTTAACAGAAGCCCGTCCGTCCCATGCAGTCGGAAAGAAGGACCGCACCATCTGCACGGCACTTATGACTCTCAACCAGGCTTGAAGTTAGAAAGGCTCGTCAAAAGGAATCCTTTACATGCTCCTCGGAAAACTGCTCTGTCAACGTCTATCTACGTAGAGCACCCGTTGTAGGCAATGGGCAAAGCTCGAAATGGTTCTTCCTTCTCGCATTGGACTCAACCCACAGCTTTTGCCAAGTGGCGCCACCTGCGTCCATGGTATCAAAGTGCTTGGTGTTCTGCGGCGCTGCTACGAGGGCAATCTTCCAAAACCGCTAATGGCCGCGAGACACGGACTGTGGGACCACATCAGCTTCTGCTTAGAGGATGCAACCGTGCATGCTCGAGCGCGGTGTCATTTTGCATGATGTGACGCAATCGAGGCCCCCACTCGTCTCCGGTCGTCAGCGCTGCGCGGGTTCGGTACAGGTGAGGGCCTGGAGGAGGTTCGTCGATGGTGGCCTGCATCTGAGCCAGTCCCTCCAGTGAAAGCCCCTTCAACATCTTCAATGTGTGGCGCGCCATGACCAGCGTCCGGGCTCGGCTGGGTCCAAGGGATCGTACAGATTGGAGCCCACGGTCCTTGTTGTGCCCACGCTGCACTGCAGTTCTGCCGTTGTCGACGGTGAGTGGCATTAACTTTTGGATGAGCGGCTGCAAGGCTGTCCAGACCCACATCATCTCCTGAGGGGCAACGGTCTGACACGGCAGCACTTGCACTTCCACGATGGCAAGGGTCCCACGGACAATCGTAAAGCGGCCTCGATTCAGCTCGCCTGGGCAGAGCATGGCAGGGGGCAAGGACAGAGGCGAACGCACCCCCGTGGAGCAGTCAACCGTTGAGGAGGTGGCTGGACCAGTTTGCGACATAGTGCATGGTGCAAAGAACAAGCACCTTCTCTCCAGGCAGCGTGGCGATGACCTGCATTGTATGCACAGCAGACAAGGTCCATGAGAAGCTGTGCGTGCCAGCCTGTCCTCGTGCAGACCGTTTACGTCACGCCAAGGTCCGGGTGGGAGACCCAGAACTTCGTCATCCTGCACCCAAGACACCTCAGTCTCAAGTCGAGGAAGGCAGCAGGAGTCTGTCTGGTGCTTGGTCACACTGTCGTCGGGCTTGGGGAAATCTTGAGCCCCTCTTGCCATTTCAGCTGCACTGGGGTTCTCGCCTGGCATGCTGGAAGCGTGAGCCCAAGAAATTGCCTACTCAGGCACACAGAAGCATGAAAACGCAGACAAAATAGGACAACCGATTGTAAGGCGATCGGCAACCTTGAACAGGGGAAAGAGAAGGAACGGCAACCAACAAAACACGCTGCCGGTAGCAGATGACAAGCCTCAATCCCGCCTCTACGGGCGTGAGGCCCACTCTACTTCGCAACGTGTTCCATGGAACCCCCAGCAGCGCCTTCGCTCCTTGTTTTCCCCGATAACCGCGTGACAGCCTTGCCTCGTGCTTGCTCAACATTCTACCGCAGCAGTCCATGCAACTCCGTGACTCCGTGCCTACCAGCATTGGCCACCACCTGAAGCAACATTCGCAATCGCGGTGGCTTGGCATGGCATTTTCATGCAAACATGGTGGTGCATATGTAAACACACATGTACACTTACATTAACTAGTGAAGGAAAGCTGTCTGTGTCGTTTGAGCACTAATTCTAGTCTGTACATCTTTTCTGCGTGCACATGCCATAAACTTCCCACCACATGGGTTGTCGTCCCTGTGCCTCGGAATGGTGGCTCCACTCTACCGTTTTCATACAACTGTTCCATAAAGTTTCATTGGGCCGTTTTCTGCTTATCGCCTAGTGGTTTGCATGCATGTACAAAATTATCTACATCTGTGCTCATGCTATCCCCCTTCCGAAACCCACATTTCCACAGCGCCGCACTTCGGAGTGACCGTATATTTCTCGGATAGTGAATGCACTAATTGCACCGCTCCGGAACCTGGAATGGAACCTGCCCCTGAGACTCCACAGGCGATGGAGAGCTTGTGCAAGGAGTATCCCTTGCCAGACTGCACTTCGAAGCCTGGGGAAGCCCTCTGAGAGCCTGGTACTCAAACTCCGCGAGCTTGCCTGGCTGATCAAGCCAAGGAAGGCAAACGTGATGACTCCTCGGATTTCTCAGCGTTCAGGTGTAGCTTTGTTGGGACTGGGACAATGTTGCTGCCAAGATTCCAGGCTCGCTGCCTGCTGTACCTTGCTCTCCAGAGCAGCTTTTCGAAATTCGCAAGCGAGGCAAATTGGCCAGCTGTACCCAGAGAATGTCGACGAAATCGACTGCCCATCCCGTTTCAGAAGACATTGAGACTCCTGAAAGGCAAGACAAACTGCGACAGCTGGGAAGTGGGGAGCCTCAAATGCCAAACGTTAGGCCTCCCTGTCCGACTCCGGAGTGAAGAGGAAGTTTGACACCAAGAGAAGGCAGGCGTCCTCATGTCGAAGGCTGGCTGCGCGTTATGTGCGGCTTCGCGGCTACGAGGCAAAAGGCTCCTCCTCACATGGTTTCAAAGCCAGCTGCTGACCCTTGACTGCAGTCCACCGTTCCGAACTTCCATCAACCTCTCAGACTTTGCGTGGCGAAAGCATTCGCTGAAAGCACACCCGGGCAACTGGGCTGCCAACGCGCTGCCGCTCCGCAGACTGAGAGACAGAGACCTTCGGACATTATCGGCCCTCTCAGTGAGACGCTCCAACGGTCGCTCGAGGTATGTGCCGAGTAGGCGCCAGAGCAAGGAGCTATGCTGTCCAGCAACCGCTGCAAGGCCTCGCGTGGTGCAGCCACAGCGACTCACAGCAGCCTGCAACAACTGGAGCACCCACCTCTTCGTCATCGAAAGCTTCCTCATGCTCTGATCCCTCCTCCTGCAAGAAAAGGGTAGCACTTAGTTCACACCACGAGTCTACAAGTCAAGATAAGCCAGGTGAAGGATACGAAGGCACCTCCGCAGCCAGTTCCTCTTCAGCTTTCTCAAGTTCTGAGATGAAGGCTTGCTGCCACAGCACCTGCTCAAAGTGTCTGTGCTTCGCACTCCGGACTCGGCTCGCAGTGGAGAAGAGAGGCCTGTTTGCTGAGAAGTGTTTCCGTGCAAGAGGAAACCAGGGCCTCTGCAGCCTGAAAGATTGCAGGTCTGAGGTTTGGGGGTGCGCTGCAAGCGCAAACCCCCAATTCATACCCTGAGCTGTGAGCCTTGGCGGCCCTCGATGTCGCAGCATTCTGCTGCTCCTCGGCTGCCTGCAGAGCACTTGCAAAACAAATCTTGCACCTACAATGTGCGAAGAGCATGGCGAGGAAGCTGACTGCTGTCCTTGGCTGCCTCTTGGAGTGATCTGGTCTCTTCCAACTTCGAGGTGTCGGCCTTCTCTCCGAGGCTCAGTTTTTTATCTTACTATGTGTCAGTCACTTGAGCGGACCTGCAGCCGGCATGCCGCATCTGCAGCATTGAACCCGGTCCTGCTGAACATGCACGTTTCGCAAAGAATGAAACTGAGACATTGAGCTGTAACGAGCGACATGATCCGAGTGATTCTCCTCAGACATTGAGGAAGGTCTAAACAATGGACGGGGGGCGACAGTGGCCAAACTGACAACCGTGAACCGATCCCCTAGCAACCACCATTCTTAAGTGCACGTACACAGCAAAGATGTTTTCAACTGTTGGTCGTAGGGTCGCTCCGCTTGCGGAGTTCGGTGTTACCCAAACGGGCAAAAACACCCAAAAGCGCGTGGGTGGGCAAAGGAATTGGGTGTCGCCTTTGATACCAAAATAGACACGGGACTCACCTGATCGAACCCGCCATCCATGTTGACGGCTGTCACATCAACACTCGAACATGCTTTATTCCACAACCGTGAACCGCTCCTTTCAAGTCCGGAGCCTTCGCGCTGCCCTTGGCCCAAAACATCAGGAAGTCCAGGTTGTCGGACTTCGCTTTAAAGACCAGCAAAGCCAAGCCCTCCCACAAGGTGTTGTGTTTCGGCAGTCGTTCTGCACCAAAAATTTTCGAGGGAGACTGTCAGGCAGTTGGCTGCAGAAGTAGCCCGCGGGTCTGCCATCCCGAGGTGGGTCCTCGGCGGGTTGGCAGAGAGGCCTCCTGAGACAAGGGCCTTCACAGCGCAATGCCGGTGCAACCCTTTCGCACTGCACGTCGGGACAGGACGAAGCAGGGGCACGAGGCCGGCGACGAATGAAAGAGCTCTTGTGTAGGACCGGAGCTCGTGAGCTCCGACAACCGCGACAGAAACTTGTCGGTGTCGGCGAGCAGGGCCTGGTTCTTGGCCGGGGTCACGACGATCGCCTCCTCCTTGTCTAGGCAACGGATCCGTGCCCCCACCCATACCGGTTGCCTTGACCGGGTATTCGCAGACCGCTGTCCACAAAAGGACGACAGCGAGGTCTCCCGCGGCGATGCGTTTGTCCGGCCAGTCCAGGACGTAGATGGGGGTCGTCCAGATGGCACTGAAGATCCACCGAAGACAGCACGGCGGACGAGCGCCCAAGCCAAGCAGCTGCCCCGCCTCAAACCGTTAACCAAAACACCAGGGTGTTGAACACCCGGCTTCTTCTTGCTGTTGCGGCAGCCCGGCAAGGCGGAAGCCGTGAAGCGGCGGTCGGCTCCAGCGGGATAAACAATTGTAACAAAAGCGTCACGAATATCGACACCGGTGGGGACACGGACTCTTGCGGGAGGATCTCTGCCACCTCCTGAGAAGAGTATAGGTGACGCTACAGAAGCCACCGGCCAGGCAGTCCCCAATCAGGTTCTCGAGCATGTGGGCTTCCTGCTCCGCCGTGGAAAAACAGGCCCGCTGGTCGATCTGACCAATGTGGCACGACTCCTGAGGGCGGGATCACGCCGTTGCACCTGATAGGCTCGGTGTTCCCCAACGGGGTGCGGTGAACAGTCAGGATGGCGGAGCGGACCTTGTTGATGACCTCCGGTCGCCTGGTTTTTGCGCACGAAGGATGGATCGAGCTGACCCCAGGAGCTCCGGCCACGCGCGGAGGGCGTGGTTCCTCTTGCCGCCCCAAGGACGGCCATTCTCAGCCCCCTGCTCGGTCTTAGCCTGCCTTGGGGAGGGCGCTCAGCGAGTCGGCTGGGTCAGCGCACCGAAACCACGATAGACAGAGTGCGCGCTATCTGAAAGAATCTGAAAGAAGTGCGGCGTACACTCACTCGCCTTGGCTCTTCGATGCCCACTGAATTCCCGACTCCTGTTGCTCCTTGCGGCCGGCGATGGTGCCGCGGGCACTGCGTGCCTCTAGGTCCACAAAGAACCATAAAGACGTACCCTAATGAGGCCTGGGTCGGCGGGACCTGCCAAAAGCTCCTGGCGGTAGCTGCGCGCCCTTGCATGGAGTCTCGTCTTTGCTGCCTTTGCCCGGCCGTGGCCTCTGTGAGGTCGTGGCTCCATGCCGGCAGTTGCTGTGAGGTGGTCGTGGCTCGCCCTGCTCCTCCGGGTGAGTCGGGCGAGATACCCATGCGAAGAATCGGCCACACGGCTAGCCGACTCCACGCGACCTTTTTTACCAAACTGAGATTACTAAGCGAAAATGGGTTGCCAAGGCCCAGCTCTCGCACGCGAGCTCGGACGCCGTGTGCTGAGCGGAGGGCCCACTCCAATGCCCCGGTCACTCCGGACCATGTGAACACTCCCGCCGATGGCTGCATTTTCTAGGTGTTTGCAGAGTATTTAGGGGTCCATCTTGCACTGCCGGGCCCTCGTAAAGAACCGGGCCGAACGGGCGAACGTTGCCGCTCGTCGTCTGGCGGCCCTGCGCCTCAAGTCGGCACGCGACTCTGGGGCGAAACCGAGGACCTCGGAGAGCCTACGACGGCTCCGGACAAAGTTCACCGCCCTCCTCCAGAAAGCCGCAATGGCGTAGCGCAGTGCATCGGCGAAGCACGGCCCCTCCGAAGGAGCAAACACCCCCGCAGCAGAAGCCGAAGACCCAGGAAGCCCAGCATCCGGCCTGGGTTTTACCGTGGTCCGCCGTCGGCGAAGTCCCAGCGATAGTCCCCAAGAACGACCACCAGGTCCATGCAGTCTCCCGCCTGTTCCTGGGCACACCCTCCCAAAGAAGTTGGGTGTCGCCCTGGAGTCCAAAATAGCCACGGGACTCACCTGATCAAACCCGCCATCCACGCTGACGGTTGTCACATCAACATGCGAACATGTTTTATTGGACAACGTGCTGGCCGGGCTGAAGCACGCACCGTGCGAGGCGATGTGAAATGACTGGCGCGATGTCGACCGGACTGAAAATCTCACCCTGTATCGTGGCCAGGGTCAAGACAGTAGCATCAAGATTTTGAGGATACAAAAATGTGGAGTAAATGAACGGAAACCACAGACCGCTGGCTTGATTCCCGACGTCCTGTGAGGATTGGGATACCTCAGACAATGACAAGGGTCTGCGGGTCACAAGGCTGTGAGAGACATGTTCTCTACTAAGTGCGTAGCCCTGCATGTGTCAGGATGGTCTCTTCAGTCTCTTCGGATTCCATGTCGTCCCCGATGGTTCATGACTGCGACACCAAGACCGTGACTAACACGCTGAATGTCCAAGCCGGTAAACTGTTCCTCTTGGGCTTGGGAACATGGCTGCACCGTTTCTTCTTCGGGTGGTGGCGAGGCTCGCAGGTGTACTGAGTGCTGCAATTGGAATGTAACGCTTCATTTGAGCCCAGGACAGCTTACCCTGTCTTGCAAGCTGCAACCCCATGCAGCCCCATGTTCATGTGATTCATGCCCGGGTGCGAAATGGTGCATCTCACTTCGGTGATTATATCTGCTTATGCTATATTTCCGAGATGCATAGTTGCTGCATCGCAAAGGGAGACCTCGCTGCCATTGCTAACTGCGAAACTATGTACAATCCCGCATCGACGCGAACATTTACGAATTCCCTACTCGTGCAGCCGCCCAGCTAAGGACAAGACTTCGCCTTGCGCCTTTTCTTCGCTCGGGGCAAGGATGGATCTCTCAAGCGCCGTGACAATCGATGAGCAAAAGGGCCGCGAGTGGAAGCCATGTTTGCGATAAACTGCCGGCTGCGCACGGACGAAGGCCTCGCAAGGCCCGCCACGGGAGGAGGCCGAGGAGGACGCAAGAAGTCTAATTTCTCGCTCCACGGCAGGAGTCGCCGCCTTCCCGACCGCCCGTACTTCTTTGAAGGCGGAGCTGCAACAGCCCGCAGCGGACGCAACTCTCCATCTCCAATGAAGTCGCGCAAGGTTTGTGTCAGGGCTTGCAAAGCGCTGCCTTCCCTCGCTTCGCCTTCTTTTGATTTTACGAGAAAGTACTCCAAAGAAGAGCTGAACGTGACGAACTCCATATTGCGACCACTGGGGCTTGCGTGCAGTACTTTGCTGCAGCGAATGGCCGATTTCAGGGACTCTTCTGCAGCTCGAGCAGGGTCTTTGAAGACCTCGTGGCTCTTGGGCAACGGCATCAGAAAGACACCGGCTCCCGCAATGTTGGTGATGTGCAGTCGCTTCGTCTGCTCTATATATTTCAAGATCGGTTCGTCTCTCTTGTCCGCCATTGCACGATACCCCACCTTTATAAACAGAAGGTTGTCAGTAGGAACGAATGCACAGTAGAGCAGATGCCTGGGTGACATGTAGACACCGAGCCGGGAAAGCGGCTGCCATTGTTTCGCTGCAAAGTTGAAGAACACAGAGTCGCATACCAGCAGACGAGTGCTGTTGTCTTGGCCAGGAGAGCTGTCATCCGACATTAGCTTGCACGCTGATTGATCCCCGGACTTGCGACCAACTCGACAAAGTCTACCCCCTTTCAGAACCCTTGCATCCGTGGGCAAACTGCCTGCCAGATGCTTTGCCACAACTTTGGAGATGGGAATGCATTTCGTTGTGTTGTGCTCTATGCCCTGTACATGCACCGAAATGCCTCTTGTCGAAAACCTGATGGAGGACGCCCAATCTGGCGAGTTTGTGAGTAATCGGGGTTTGAAGCAATCACCTTCTGAGTCGCAAGCCTGCAGCACCTCCACTTCTGCATCGCTCTGAACGCTTTGAACGCTGACCACGGAGCTGCCGGCGCTGCTGCCACTGCTACCGGCGCTGCTGATGCTGATCCGTGGAGGCCGGCTCTCTGCCTGCCTCGAAGCACTTTTCCGGCCCCTGTAGCATGCAGCGCAAGCAGCACATGCGGCAGAAGCAGCGGCAGCTACAGCCAGACCACGAGACGAAGCACTGAACTTCCACAGTATCTCCTCCATGGCATCACATCACGCAAACTAAGATGTTTATGGCGTCACATTACAAACTTGACCCCGCAGCTGCATTTCAAAGCAAGATTATATACCTTCTGGGTGGGAAACAACGGTACAGGGGCCTGAAATACTGTAACCATCATCCAAAGGAGCGCCCCGCCACCAGGCAACCTCTGAAGCAGATGAATCCGCTGGCCCCGGTCATGCTGAGCTGACATCCTCTCACCGGTCTCCGACGCTAGCCCCTTTTCATCGCCAGCATCAACTTCTCCCCAAAGCCTACATATTCCATCAAACTGCTCAGTAAGCTGACCCAACGAATCCGGCTGCGAAGTGAGAAGGGCGACGGTGGTGGAAACAGCAAAGAGGGGCCACACGCGATCCGTCTTGAAGGCAAGTCCGTTCGTGAAGGCACGACGCCGCCGCTCTGAGATTGCAACTTTGAACCGGCTTTGCAGCAGCTCCTCCAAGGCATGCTCTTCCTCAGTTCGGTTCTCAGGAAGACCTGGTAGAACAAGAAAAACATGAAGGACTTTCTTGTGCTTCACAGCGCTTTCAAAGGCAGCCAGCAGCTTCTTGGCAAGTCGTAGCACCAAGCCACGAACGAAGGGTGGGTTGACTTCATAAACCCCGCCCATAGTCCCTATGTCCAAGTCTTCCTCCAGGAATGGGCCCAGAGAGCCGAAGAACACATCCAGGTCTTTAAAGATCGAGCAGAAGTGCCACGTCTTCTGGCACAGCAGCGGCGATGCAAAGCACTCCAACTTGCCAAGGGACTCTCTCTCCAAAGCCGCAAAAACCTCGTTTGGAACGGCTGCATGAAGGCCCCCTCCCTCTTTGTGTCCCGGCCCAAACAGCGCATCGTAGCGGCATAGAGTACAAAACGTGAGGTTCCAAAACGTGGACTCCTCTTGCAGAAACGTGATGGACGATGCCAAATCGCTTCTGCCATGACTTCCTCAGCCACAAGTCCATGCCAGAACTGGGCAACGAACCTAGCTGCATTATCCACCCCATGACAGCTTCTCAAGCTCAGCGACCTTCGACATCGACCATCGCCTTGGCCCTCTTTGCCGCTTTTCGGAGCAGCTTCCTGGCAATTCACTCAAGGGAGTCCTGAAGCCTCACTTTCTTCTGGCGAGCTGAAGCTGCTATTTGTCAGAGCAATTGCGCGATGAAACGAAGGTCTTTCGGACATCTCAGCTAAGAGCCAGCCGCAGAGTTGGTGCAGCCTGCTTCAACAGGTCCCTGTTGATGAAGCTGCTCACAAAGGCAGTGTATTTCCCGAAGTTCACCACACCATGATGCCAGCCGTCCGGGAAATAAAGTAGCTCACCGGACTGAATTAAGCACTCTTGCAAATTCTGCAGCTGGCCAGAAGCTTCCATCTCCGGTCTGCGCTCCAGGTGCCAGTGGTACTGCGACATTGATGCATTGAACTGCATGTCAGTCTCTATTTCTTCAATTGCAGGATCTCCGGGAGGTAGAAATACGAAGTGTTTCGAGCCATGGAAGACCTCCACAAAAGCAGCGTTGTGGAAGTGCCATGGTGCACCAGAAAAGGAGCCCCCGAGACCTATCGTGATGGCAGCTGCAGCTTGAGTACAGACTTGGCAAGGAGGCAAGTTGTAGGACTCTCTAAGAGGTGCCCAGTTCTCTCCAAATTCACCAAAAACGTATCGGTTGTCCTCGGCATTCTTACTGATAGGCTTTGGCAACCATTCTTGAAGGTACTGGGCCAACGTCATCTCGAAGGTGCCTATCCGCTTGCTGCCGGCTTGGCTTGGCGTGCAGGTAACATTTCCCATGGTGCCAAGGAGTACATCATGCTCTAAACTGCGACGCATCCTTGTGTTCCAGTTCCTTGGCACCTCCACCACGTAGGGCTCATCGGGGAGTGGCAGCATCGCCCGCCCACGAGGCCACTGGATCCGCTTGATGTTGCACCTGCCTCGCCAAGCCATGTCTCGGTCCCGGTGCTCCTTGGAAGTAAGGGCTGCATGTGCATGAGGCTGGCAAGAGATGCCGGCATCGTCTCCGCAGTCTGTGTCGGGATGACTTGCTCCGTTGGCAAGACAGCAACACAGGCCCAGTATCAGTCGACATATCAACATTACACGCTGGAGGATGTCTTGCGGTGAGTACACGGCCTGATCATTGTAAATTATATATTACACATCGTAAATCCTCTAAACGGCCGTCTAAGTATATGTACAACCAAGACACACAACGGCAGTTCTACAGTGTCACCGTCGGTGGCATCACATCTGCAATGCAGAACTCGCAAGTCATGTTTGTCCAGAAGCAGCTGCGGCGGAGTCCAACATGATCGATCTTCGCTGGTGTTCCGGTACACTAAAGTCACCAAAGTTCCTGACGTGACGGAGTTGAGCCTCTTTGCGAGGGTTTCGCAGTGGGCTAAAGGACTAGTCTTGTCTACTCTTGTTGCAAAGGCCCTGGCGTTGTCCCCCAAAGTGCGCTGATAGCCAGAATGCCGCACTTCCTGTTGAGCTCTTCGTGAGATTAAAGCCTCATGACGTCCCGAAACTATTCATCTTAGTTGGAGGCCGCCCCGATGAAAACTGGTGGTAGAGTAGATGTGGTAGTACTGAGTAAGGGAAGACTAGAACTACGTAAACAAACAAGCCGGGCAAGCGCCAACCTGGCCAGCGCGGACGGACTGATGGCAAATGCCTCCGAACTCCCTCCAGGCTCATCTGCGGACTCTCCACTACCCTCCGAGTCCGAGCAAGCATTGGTAATGGCTGGACTGTCCGGACTTCCAGGCAGCGTAAACAGGTAGCAGCCTCGGCGTGCATCGAAAGTTGCTGACACAGTGCTGCTGCACTCTGCCTTCAACTTTCTGTGCAAGGATTTGGCAGCAGCAGCAGCCTCCGAGGTCAGCTGACAACAGATCTGTCGAACTCGGCTTTCTGCTGTCGCTGCAGTTTCCGCATCCAAGCCAAGCAGCAGAACCCGGCATAGTCTCCTACAAAGTGCCTCATCAGCTTCCTCGGCTGAGCCGGAAACCTGAAACTTCGAGTCATCGCCTCCCCAAAGAGGATCCATTCCTTTGCCATTCAGGCGCTCCATCAGCCACTTGTTAAACGACTCTCTGGGTGCTTGCCGTGCTGTTTCTTCTTTGCCGACTTCCTTGCAGACTTCGGCGTAGCGCGCGTCGAAGCGTGCACGCAGGCCCAGGATCTCTGCACGGCGAAGCTGCTCCAGTGCAGGCCTCGGGATTGCCGAGCCGGCATCGCAAAGACGCCGTAGCCACACGCGTGTCAGAGGGTCCTCGCGATCGCCCTGGCCGAGACCACTCGTCCGCTGACGCTTCCTTGAAGAGCCATCGAAGCTCATGTCATTCGGCGTGCCGCGTGCGAAGCGTGGCTAACCAGATCGGGACAGTCCTGGTTATCAATGGATTTGCGAACATACACTGAAGAGCCCAATCCGTTGTGTGAAGAATGCACGTGTGGTCTCAAGGCAACAGCTAGTCTAAAAGAGCGCTCAACAGCAATGCTTGCAGCTACAGGACTCAATCCTGCGACGCGCGACCTGAGAGATGTGCATAACCTGGCAGACCTAGCACTGCGTTTGCAGTCAGGAAAACTGCTGCGCATGCCTCACGATTTCTGTACATGCCCTACACTTTCACAGCTCGCTTCCACTCTTGTGGCTTCCGCTTGGTCAGCCTCGGTGCTTGCCAAATGTGCGACAGCGCCAGCATACGCGAACAGCAAGTGTGAATGAATGCAGCAAGGAGGCTTGACAGATATCTTGCCTCTGCGAAGCTTCCAAGAAGTCCGATCAGACCTATCAACTGTGGGTCTGGATTGGTGTGCACTCCCTGCAAGAACTTCTACAAGTAGGTTGCAGCATGCACCCTGCTGCAGCTGAGGCAAGCACTCCACCTTATTTGGGGAGCACGGCAGGACGAAAAGAACAGGATCGCGCAGTTTCAAGAAGAGCCGCTGGGTACCAACGACAACACTTTCAACCTTCAACGGTCTAGCCACAGACAATGTCAGAGTTTGCGAAATCAGTGAAGGGTACAAGATGGAGAGTGCCGGTGTTGCAGATGTGTTTAGCGGTGCGAGCAGGCCTGACGGAAAATCTGACCGAAGATCACAACAACTGGGACAACTGGGATTACAAGCAATGAAGTTTCAAGGAAGAAGCGAAGGCATGCTGCCAGTCATCGCCAATCACCTGTCTACGACGATTTGTAACCGATTTGTACCTTCCGAGCTTTCGAGCCCCGGTCACCCTGGCAGCAAAGGCTTCTGAAGACGGACCATTGAGCTGCAGGACGAGGACAAGGCCGTGCTTTTGGAGGCTTCAATCTCTCATGCAATTATCGAATGCAAGCAAGAGGCACTATGGCAGAGCGGCGCGAGGCGCAAGGTCCAATCCGCCCTAGTGGCAGCCTGGAATAGTGGTCAAGGGTGCACGTGACACAGCATTGTCAACCATGGAACATGCTGGCACGACCGTTGCCGCTGTAGGCAACTCGTGCAATATCACAACGAGCTCGTTGTCCTTGCTCAAAACCTGTCATGAGAAGCTAACCCATACCCTTGACACGTGCAGCCGTTGCAGCGCACCATCGACCTCTACGTGCTCTTCCTTCACGTGCTGCGCTGCTCCTCCATAAAGATCCTGCGAGGCATCTACAAAGCGCAAAACTGACTGCACGGCTGTCGTACCATGCGATCCGAGTCCTTGTCTGCCTCAATGATGATTGTGGCAGACTCAAGAGAATCCGCGAAGGTGTAGTGCTCGATCGTCTTTTGCACACCTCCACCTTCCTCGCCAAGAGTCCAGAATGGTGTCTCATGCAGGGTTGCTTGTTGCCCTCAGCCTTCTTCACGGCAGGCATCTGGCACCGCTCTAACTCTGACAAGACCATCAACCTGCAGACGAGAGGCAGGGTCAACAAGCCCTGGTCAACCTGCTGGGTTGCCTGTGGCAGCCTCAACGCAGCTTCCAGATTCCACTACGGCCAGGTGTGCTGGTGCAAATGTGCAAAGCTGAAGATGTTTGTAAACAGAAGGACTCTGCTTGCCTCACTGCGTCACTCTGCCTCAGATGCTCGGAAGGGCTCCCAAGGGCCTTGGCCTCTGTGACTGACCCCGAGCTTAGCCCAGACCCCGCCTGTTCTCCACTGTCATCGGAGTGATGACCCTATATATAGGGGATGTGAAGCTGCCACGAAGTGGAAGAACACTGGAGTTTTGCAGGCACGCGCCACTATCTCAAGAGCAAATCCGAATGGGTGGCATTGTAGGCAAGATCTAACTCCGGTTGCCCCCAATCCCGAAAAAACATGATCGCGAGGGCCATGAGACACCGCACGACCTCCACAAGAGACCCTGCGCGCCTGGTCTGCTCTTCGGGGCTAAGCGCCGGAGCCTTAAAAAGAGCACCGTGAGAAAGCGAACGGAGCAGAGCGGATGCAGCGGCCTCGGCGGCCTCGGCGGCCTCGGCTTCGAGGGTAGCCTCCACGGCCTCATCTCCCTGCCTGTCCAGTGCCCCAAAAAAAGTTCGTGCCCAAGAAAAAGAGCACAAACATGCTCAACTTCACGCTTTTCCCCGAGGTCTCAGATCACGTCTGGCAAGCCCAGCGAGTGACGCAGAAGCTGACCTCGCGTCCACGATACAGAACATGAGTGAAATACCATGCACGATCTATGCAAGGCCACGGCTCAGCACTGCAGGTCCTCCAAGAATCTCGTCCTCGGACCTGTGTCAACCATGCTAGCGGTGCCATGAAAGCGGACATCAGGACAAATGCAAACGAGGCAGGAGGACAGCTGACCAAGCTCATCACCGTACTTGGCATTGTTTAAGATAAGAATGTGGGAACCTCAAGACGAGAGACTGCAGTTCATTCCGGGAAGTCATGGTTCATCAGGGAACTTGCCTGCGCCCGCAACTGCTCGAAAGCATTGAAGCTCTATAAGGTTCAAGGCGAGGTATGGCTTGCCAGACTTATGCAGGAGGTGCAAACCACTATGACCTATGGCACGTCCAGCAATGACGCCTCCTGCCCTGCCATCCCGCGCACCCCCAAAAGCTCTCGGGAGTCGGACTCCATCTCAGTGCGGAACCGAGCTCCTTTCCTAGGGCCTCTTGGAAAGGCCGGACCGCCCAGAGCGTCTCCTGGCTCACGCGAATCCGAGGCCGCCAGGCCGCTAGAACTCTGCGGCGAACCTTCTCGGGATTGTGCGCGAGCAGAGCCTGCGCTCAATTCATGGCTCCTGGATGCTGCTGGCTACCCCGTATCCAACCCACGAGCACCTTACTGATGCGCTGGCTGTGGACAAGGCTGACGGGCACAAAAACGTCTCTCAGGATCTCCTTCAAAGAATCCGAGAAAGTCTGATGAGGTCTTGCTGTTCCTGCATTTTGGAACATGTCCTGCCAGTAGAAAACGTCAGTCCTTGGTGGTAGCATCCAGTTTCTCTGGCGCATGTCTGTGCATTGCAGCTACGATTTCTGATCCTTGCACGATTACCCGGGAGGCAAACCATAAGAGGAACAAGTCGGAATGACAAGGCCAAACTGCAAAGAGACTGTCTTCCCCACTCGATGCATGCTTTGGTGGCTGTGCTCGAAAACCTGCAAGTCCCTGAAACTCAGCCATCTACTTCTGGCCCATCACCTCCGGAAGCTTTTCCTCCAGCCGACCGTGAAGAGCATTGAACCTCCCAACACAGTCCGACTCCAATGGATGGTCCGTGGTAGCATGGGCGCACCAAAGCTGCGTAAGCTCCGAGTTGGGCCGAAAAGGGCCCATGTCCTGGCGCGAGTCAGTGAAACGTGAACCCCGGCCGTGGGCGAAGACAGACGCAACAGTGCTTGAAAGCGGAAAACGAGCGGGACTGGCTGAAACACCGATAAGCTCGCCCCATTCAGATCCATCATAACCTGAGACTATGCCATGGACGGAGTAAGATGGGGTGGCAAGCACCCCCCGGCAACTGCAATTGCTGAGACTGCGTCCAACAGCATCGAATTGATTGCTCTCCACCAGCTCGTAGAGGCCCGCAAGACTTCGCAGGCAAATGGTGTCAACCTTTGCTCCCGCAACTCGCCATGGACAGTGCTTCACACCGTGCTAAGCTGCAGACATCAAGGTACAAACCCCCGTAGTTGTGCAGCAAGTAGCAACCTGTGATCCGACTCTACAGCCGCAGGTCCGCGCCAGCCCCAAAGGAGTCCCAGGGGCGCAAATAGTCTGCTCTGTGGGCCAGATGAAGGTACGGATATGCAGGATGTGGGTCCGGCACGTACTCTGTCACCTTGGCAGGAGCCCGAAGACGGCCCCTGAGAATGACATACGAATGACGGCGATTCCCTCAAGTGGTGCAGCCACGGAGCATTTTGCGGCGTGATAAGTACAACGGGCCTTGAGACTGCCGGACTACCACACAAAAGATGTGGAACGCAGCGCCGGAGCCCGGACAAGCCAGCATTACGCCGCACCGTCTCCATACAAAGTCGCAGGTGAGCTGGCCTGAGTTTAAAGACTGCCCAACCACCATGGCCTAAACTGACGTTTAAAAAGCTGGTCGGTGAAGTTGTGTAAGGATAGGGCATCGGGTTGTTCCCAGTCCAGCACATCCAAATGACCCCTGCAACTCGGGAGTAGCGGGGACTTTGAGTCATTTGACAACTGGGCACCCAACGATGTAGCTTCCCCTTCTCTAGTCGCGGCCTTGCCAACACATGCTACCAAAGCTAGCGGCAGAGGAACCGGCGCCTTCCTCCCACACCGTGAATAGCAGGGCCTCCTCAGCTGCAGTTCCCTGAAATGAACCACGAGAGCTGCAGGGATCTGGCCTGTGGAGTCCCAGACCGGCTTGGGACCGACGGAGGTCACCTGGTCAGGTCGGGCTTTCAGGGCCCCCTTTCTGCACATCTCTTCTATGGCTCTCGTGACTCTCGTGGCTGACTCGTGTGTCCTTGTTCTGAACCCCATTATCCGCAACAGCAGAAGCATGCCACCAGCGTGACTGCAAATAGTGTCCACAAGTCGCCTTGCGCCGATACGCCGATACGCCGGTCGAGGGCGCACGCACGGGACATACGCCGGTACGAAAATACGCCGAACGCGGGTGCGAGGGAGGGAAATACGCCGATACGCCGATGGGGGGCCCACTGCAATACGCCGATACTCCGATCCGGAAATACGCCGATACGCCTGATCGGGGTTCCCCCCCTTCCAGGCTTCCCTCCCCCACTCGCCCTGACCCCCCCGTTGCAAACGGAGACGTGAGAAACAACTACCCCGCAGAGTTAGACGGGCAGCAACGCGGACAGCAGGACAGCTGCGCAGGGGGACCTGCGGACTGGGACCTATCGTAAACGGAGATCGAGAAACAACCACTCCGAAGCGCAGGACACGCCTGTGCACACAGCGGGACAAGAGACCTGCGGACGGGGACCTGTTCGGATCCGAAACCCTAAAACCCTCAACTCTTACTATGACCCATGGACTGAGAGGATAGAGCATTGGACTGCATGATGGGGCGCCCCTGACTCCAAGATCGGAACTCTCATATGTCTTGAACGCAGAGGATGGAGCCTTGGACCGACGGGGCAGCCCCAGATTTAAAAAGCAGGACTCTCCGACCTCTTGAACTCCTAGGATGGAGCCTTGGAATGATGGGGCGCCCCGGATTTTAACATCAGAACTCTGATGACTCTTGGACTCACAGGATGGAGATGGATGGAGCCTTGGACCGATGGGCCGCCCCAGATTTTTAAATCAGAACCGTCTTACGGTGCCCTGCCCAGTGCCCACGGCGCGGAAGGGAAATATTGGATCCGGAAGGAACATACGCCGATACGCTGATATGCCGAGCGCGCGCTTACGTGCGACGGTGTATCGGTGTATCGGTGCGGGCTTGCGCCGTTAGAGGCCGGAGCTGTGTACCGGTGTATCGGTGTATAGGGCCTCGGGCCCGGAGCGGGCGGGCGACAGGGAGATACGGCGATATACGCCGATCCCAAAAGGGAAATACGCCGATATGCCGATCCACAAGGGAAACACGCCGACACGCCGCACTCGCGTTCAGGGGTGCAACGGAGTATCGGTGTGTCGTGCGGGCCCTCTGCTGCAACGCACAGGGCACATGCAGACAACCGAACGGCACCTTCAAACCACGCGTCATACGCAATCCTGTAAACCAGATTTGATCCGCGCTCTCCAGAAAGGGCCATTGGGCCAGCACGTCTCAACCTTTGCATGTTTCAATGGCTCATTCTAATACTTGGCGGTGCTTTGGCTAGTTTGGCATTCTGCTCTTGTCGCGCATTCTGCTGACACTTCCTTCTTAACTATGACACATGCGGAGAAGCTGGTAACAGTAATGGGTAGCTGTGGGAGAGGGAGATTATCGAAGCTGGCGAGTGGAGACTGACGGGTTGAGTCTGTGCAGTACTGAGTACTGCCGGGACATGAAACCCACCACAGGGCTGGGCGGTGCAGAGCCCAACAAATCGTGGAAAAAAGTAAGTCCGCAACTGTTCTCACATGGGCACATCTACCCCGCGCCGCCTGGGCAAGTCACGCATGATGCCAGTACAAACGCGACAACCAAGGGCTGAGGCAGCTGCTGCCGCTGCAAAAACTCCAGCAACAGAATACCATCTCGTCGAATGTCGTGCGGAGAAGTGGTGCTCGCTGCCAGCTGCACGTGCCACTCTCGCCGAAAGCTGAGGAATTCGGAAGCACTGAAACCTAAGGTGTGGCTCGTCAGCTTCTTCACTCTTGAATTCTGCGTGGGCAGTGGGCGAACTAAGTAGACGGCGCCTGTAAGCTGACAGCTGGCTGCATTGGCATGGCGAGCATGCCTTCGACCGTCCTTTTTGCAAGCGTGCAGTGGGCTTACATGCTTCTGTCCCAACACTGCTTTCGGATTGTTCAAGGAGACATCACTGCCGAACACCCTCACGAAACTGCGCTCTTTGTGATCAGGGAGCAAATATTGCTGCTTGTCGCCCGGCTGCACCGTGCTAAGGAGCAGACAAGCTGCACGTGTCGAGGCTCGAGCCGTAAGCATGACGGAGCGCGAAGTGAAGTCTTCAAAGTGCGGGTTCTTTCGGCCTTTGCTGGAGCGCTTCGGGGTCGCCCTCGTCAATGCGATCAGGATCACCAGCCGCATTTGACGCAATCACCTGACAAAGGACTTCCGAGTCGAGATGAATCATTAGCAACGCGCACCTGCGCCAATCTCTTTCGATGGGCAGAACTTTCCTCAAAATCTTGCAATACGAGACAGCAGACAGCAACCATCGCTTGCATCCTGGGGGCTCTACATCTTCCATTCCAGACCTCCATGCAAGCACCAGAAACAAATTCAACAAGCTTGTGAAGCACAGTCGGGACCTGAAGCAGAAGAGCATAACTTGCAATGCTCTACATGCCGAAAGATGCAAGAATCCGACGGGCTTGTGATCTGGCAGGCAGTCTCATTTGCGAGTCGGTTTAGGCGACAGTACACCCAGGAATGTTCACCCGTCCGTGCCTTACAAGCTGACATCCGTTCTGAGAGCCACACTCCACGTAGCCATTACGGTTGCCCGTATCGTTCACTGCAAGCCTGATTTCCCCGTCGGTGGCAGCTTCTTCCTGTCCTGCCATGCATCATGATCCATTAATGTGCAACGATGAAAACTCGCGCAGCTTCAGAAAACATGGTTTATTGCACGACCACCTGATTGAAATTTCCATACTCAGGTGGCAATGCTGCTAGTTGCGAAGACTTGTCATATCCAGCCTCCATGCATTGCCACCAAAGATGCAGCATATTTTCTGATGTCCTGGCCGCTGGTAACGAAGCTTCCACAACAACGGCTTGTCAGAATTGTCAGAACACCCAGCTCAACACCGTTGGGTCCTCTTCAGTAAGATCTTTCAGCTTCTTTCCACCGAACATGATTGCACAGTGAACAAAGGATCCCTGCACACTTGTACCTCTCTGCTTGCATGAGGTCGTGGGACGAACGAGTTTTCACAACAGAGGGTGTCGATTGAACGATGCCGAGCCCCAACAACAGGCTGCCTTGTGGCAGATCATGCATGCTGCCTTTTAAGCCAATGCTACGGCACAAAACACAATCACTGCATTTAAGGAACTCAAAGGACACCGACATTCCAGGTGAAGCAGAATCCACTTCAACCGATGAAGTCTCGGCACTACGGCCTTGACACATTCTGCCCTCACCAGTTGCATGTAGCTTTTGGCTGATGCCGCATGCAGAAAGTCGCTTTAACTGCCATAGCTGTGGACATCACCGCTCTCGCTTTAGATTCAGAGAGCCTCCTGCAAGGGCAAGACCTTAGCTTACCAGAACCAGAACGAGATAGCTCGAATCTAGAGGATGCTTGCGAACGCTCCCACCATGACTGCTTCTGAAAACGACGAGACGCGGAAAGCTGGACCTGAGCCGAGCCGTCTCCTGGTCGCAACCTGAGACGTGCCCATGAGCAACTGGGGCCGCGTGCCACACAGTGTTGCCGCAACGGGCAAATGGAACAGTGCGGCTGAAGCGCTGCTTCTTCCAACTGGCAATCGCCAGCTCACGAATGCCGAACCTGGGCACAGCTCGGCAGCTGGTTTGCCGCGCTAAGCAGCACGACGAGCTGGAGCTGGATAAAGCAGGTGGGCTAGGTGTCTGTCGCATCTTCCCGAAAGCGCGGCTCGGACCACAGAGACTCCTCTGCCTCGGGACAATTGGACAATGTCACCGTGGCATTGCGAGGGGCACATCTTCTTGGAAAGCGGGTGGTTCCCGCACGTGTGTTGTCTCGCACTTATACTGCATTTCGACACAGTATTTGCGATGGTTCTACTGCTGGGGGCTTCGGTGTTGTTGGAGTGCATTTCAGGCGTCTGCAATTCTCCATCTTGCTGATACTTACCCGGGTTCCTGCACGTGTTTAGCTTCCAGCTCGGCATTTGCGATGTTATCTGCAGGTAGCTTCGGAAGTGTCACTAAGCCGGTCGCATCCATGTCAACGAAAGGAATAGCAGTCGTCATCGCAACTTCCCAGTTTTGAAAGGCTCATGCGCTCTACCGTGAAATGGACGCCGGGGTGTAAAACCAATGTCTCTGTTACTGCGACAAAAACCGATGCGAATACAAAGCGGCAAAAAAGGGGGCAAAAACAACACCAGCAATACAAACGCCAACACGAGTAGGCAGCAGCGGTGCAAGTACAAACGCCAACCCCACAACAGAAGATGTTGACAAATGATAATGATGATGATGGTGATGATGATGATGATGAGGATAATGATGATGACCATGATGACGATGATGACGATGATGACGATGATGGTGATGATGGTGATGATGAAGACGACGACGATGATGATGATGATGACGATGACGATATTGATGATGGTGATGATGGTGATGATGATGATGATGATGACGATGGTGACTGATGGTGACTGATGGTGAAAGATGGTGACGTTTCAACTGTCCGTTTCTCACGCGAGGCAGCGGCTGGTCGTGCCAAACATCCAGCATCGGCTCTACCACTGTGGTGACCCAAATTTTTGGCCTGGAGTGATCCTTCCCAATAGCAAATGCACGAATTCGAAGCACTCCTTCTCATTTTGAGAAAGTTGGCGTCTTCATCTTCCTTTGCTTCCGAGGTTCTGGAATACCTCTTTTCGATCACGGCACTTGGCAACTCCCCAGCCGACACAATGAAGTGCCTTCTCTTTGACACAATATGTGGCACCTGCCTTTCACGTCTGCGATCTGTGTGAGCTGTTGAGTTCGAATACAGTCGGGGACCCTCAATGCCGCCTTCGGAGCCAAAACACCGCTCTGAGCACTCCGCCTCGTTCAATGCAATCTCGACATCAATGCTGTGGTAGACCTCATTGTCTGGCTGTGATTGCTACGACCTCTACGCCAGGTCACGGCCTGCAGTATCTCTTCCAAAAAGTTGTAGGCGTTCGCAAGCGGGAAATCATCAGAAGCAACAACACCATACCTGCAAGAGCGCATGAAAGAAGTTTTCTGCGGCCATCACTACCGCAACTTGGGCTCCTGCGTGTTGCCCAGGCTGTCTGCAGTGAAGAATAACACACCCGCACGAAAGGACAGCTTATGCCTCCAGGGCAGAGCACGAAGTCCGAAGACCCTCTGAACTACAGCTTATCTCTACTCTTAGTTGGACTGACTTCCGGGCCTGGACCCCGGCTTCACCGAATTTCCGGCGACACGCAGTACATCGCAGAAGGCCTCTTATGGAATGAAGCGACCCATCCAGTGAGCATCCTCGCACAGATGAGGCACATGGAGCCTCCTCGTAGAGATCCTTGTTGGGATCTCCCTGGAACAACCTTGTCACCAGTCAGAAGTCGCTGAGATCGAAAGCAGCAGCCGATCTGAGCCAGGTTCGGAAAGAGAATGGATGCAAAGCGCTTTCCGTCCCTGCACCCGAGTAAGAAGACAATCTGCAAGAATCGGTAAGCCACATCTGTCTGCGCTTGACGGGCCTCGCACGTCCTGCAGCAAAGAAGCGCATTCCACGTCGTCGCTGCGCAAGTTCTAATTCCAGGTCCTGAGGACAATTTTCCGGCCCTGGCATTGACAGGTCATGTCGGTCATGTCTATGTTTCCGGCACCTCGTCGATGTCCAGATCCTGTACTCGCCCCTCGAAGGCCTCTCAGTTGCAATCAGCAAAACGACAGCCCCCAAAGCTCTAAGACAGGCTGCAGCCTGGCCTGAAAAATCCAAGCCTCAACGTCATCAAAGGCCCCCTGAACCTGGAGAAAGGAACTTCTGCTTCCCCACGAGCGCGTCACGTCTTAAATCTCAGCCTTCGCCTTGATGGCACTGAAGTTCTCGTATGACATCAAGGCCCCCCCCCAGCCCCCGCCCACCCCCCCCCCCGCCCGGAGTCCCGGTGAGTCCCTGAAGTGCCACGAAAAGGCGGAAGGTGCTACAACAAGCTGTTCAAGGCTCCGCTATGCTCCGATGCTGCCACGTCATTCTTTTTTCATGAGAGATCGAAAGCTCCGTCTGTAGTTCGTAACGCTATCTCAGGGTCGGGTCTAGCCCAGCTCAGACCGTGTCAAATCGCCTCGTGAGACTAGACGCAACCTGCGACATGACTTGTCAGACGGCCGGCCTGGTACTGCATCGGCTTGCTGCTCCGCATCTTGAAGAGGATCCGATACCTGGGATTCCGACTGCGATGCACCCCTTTTCCCTGGACTCCCCTTGTGCCGCGGAGGTGCCCGCACTCGCGACATCGAATGACGTCGGTTGGCTTTATCTCGTTCAATGCACCACACTTTCCGCAGATGTACCTCTTCCCATCTCAGAAGCAACGAGAAGCAGCAGGCAGCAGCCGCGCACTTCACTGCTGTCACGGTGGGCTTCAGGTCAACGTCCTTCTTTGTGTCCTGGGCTCTGTTGCTGCGAAGAGCTTCGCACACATGCTACGTCAGCAACATGTTACAAAGCTTGCGGGTGTGTTGCAATGAATTGACTGAGCCCACAGTTCACCTGCTTGTTCGCAGGAGTACAGCCTCTTAAGTCTTAAGCGACAGGTTGTTGCAAACAAAGCAGAATGCTTCGACGCCAGATGTTGAAAAAATCACATGCTCAATGAGCAGACTAAAGCTGATACACGTCCTTCTTCACGTCTGCCATGATCTGGCAAAACTAGGAATCTGCTGCCTCGTACTAGCCGATTTTGTTTTAGGCTGATGCTGGAAGTTGCTAGCCGAGTCTGTAATCATCTGGCTAGATCTTGCAAGAGGGCTGGCATCGGCTGCGTCGGCAACGTCGGGACAAGTGCGAAACCTGAAGTTTGCTGCGAGAACAACTTGGTTGCCTTGGCTCGAAGCCCCTGGTGCACTTCCCACACCTTTTTTCCACACATCTCGCTCTTCACTTTGCGCACCGAAACCATCGCATCTTCGGTGCATGCACAACGAAGCAGAGTTAGAAACCGCAAAGCTCCAAACACGAGACTCCTGGCTCAGGGCTCACTTGTCCGGTATGGAATCCGGGGCCTGCAGTGCAAAATTTTGAAGGCCACACAGCACATCATGGTTCATGCGCATCTGCCTCGGCATCCTGTACAGTGAATGCATCCGGGGAAAGTTCGGGCCTCCATCGACACAGAATATCGGCTTGCAACTCATGTCTCGCCAAGGGGAGTTTAGGGGGCTGACCCTCTTTGAGCCGGCACAATCACCTGCGGGATTCCCCAGTGCCTCAGCAATGTGGCGTTCGCCAGGCTCGGGCGCGTTCAAGTTGAGGCGAGGACGGATGGATGGCTCCCGGATAGCAGTACAACCTTTCTATGCGGTCAGGGGTGCTCGAAGATCACGCACTGTTGCCTACTAGTATGTAGTTGCTTCGCTGCTCGAGCAATCCGGTGGTCTCACCCTGAAGTACCTTCGCAGCCAGTTCGGCCGCAAAAGGTTTTTCGGCAACATGCCCTTGACTGCCTGTGCACGAGGTGGCAATCAAGTGCCAATAGAGTTGCTCAGATCAGAGCAGACTGAACGGAATTTCAACACAAAGGCGTCGCATCAGGCCTGCGAGATAACGATTGAAGGGTTCAACATCATCAATCTGGTAGCTGTGACGACCTGCACGGAAGGCTTGGCTTGGTTTTCGGAAGGCATCGAAGTATGGAAGCGTTGCCTTGGGTCCTCGAGGATCCGTCTTTCCTTGCGAGCATGAAACTTGATCCCGTTGCAAGCACGGAAAGCGCGAGGAAAATCCCAGGAACGATAGGGGTCACAGGATGGTCCTAAGACTGTAGATTTGCCGGTATTCAATGGCTGCAACGAGGACAAGTCAGAGGTACGATGACAAGCGGCTGGACACAAGGCTTGTTCATTGCGACTTCCTGCTGCCGACGTGCCAAAACCATCGAAGACCGACAATGCGCATGATGCAGCCCCATTGTCATGGCAAGGAACTGTTTCGGTAGAATCTGTAGATCTTTGTGTCCTCACGGTCGGATGACGTTGGATGCACAAGTTGTGACCCGCCCGATGGCTCAGTTGATGGGAGCAAACAACGTGCTTGGGCAGACCCAGGTATGGCCAGGGAAATGCAAGTGGATTGCATTCACGATTATGACGGAATCACCTGCCACGGAAGCGTTGAAAAGCTGCGACAAGCGTTCTCAATGGACAGCCCATTCGTGTAAAGCAAACAATGTCAGCACCTTTTACCCGATCTGGCGCATAGTCGCAGCCTTTGCATGCGATCGGGTCATATGCTCAGACAAGAAAGTAAGACTGCTCATGAAGGCTCACAGCACACCTTCCTTTCATGACATGTCGACTCTATACCCTGCCTGTCGCGACACAGCTTTTTTCAACTCACGCCGCACAGTTCCACGGATTTGGGGCGTGATGGGCTCTGGAGTTTCCTGACGATGCCAAAAACAGACATTTGTGGGGCACTAACTTGAGATGAACTTCTGTTTACTTCAGGAACCTGCCAGCTGGTGTGAACGCCCGTACGTTACCTGCCCGTACCTGTGCTTGCAGATGGTGGCACTACTTTTTGGTTGCCTTCTTGCCTTCAAATGAATTGATGCAGCAACAATGCAAGGAACGACGACACAGGTTTCTGTAGTCGTCATGCACACAGCATCTTCTGGTCCAGTATGGAGTAAAACGATGTGAGTGGGACTGTTAAGCCACCCCAGATTCCCGTTGAAAGTCCGAAGGCGACTGATGCAGTGCTTCACAAATCAACGATCCAGCTGAGTGGCCAGGGGGGATGTGTGTCACTTTGACTCCTTTGCTGTCGTGGCACCCACAATGGCTGCCAGACCTACACCCAGGCCCAGTCCCACACACACAACCCCAGCCATCTGGCCAAGTTGTGGGTAGAGCCCGATGCGCACACCGAGCACTCCAAGCATTGGGATCACGAAGTTGTCATCAAGGCCAATGATTTCTGCCAGAACCTCCCCTAGAGTCACAAACACGGAAGCTATCAAGGACACTCCTGGTGAAAGCCCAGCGTGCACGGCTAGGGCTAGGCAAACCGTGAAGCAGCCAATGCTTCCTTCCACTTTCCGAGCAGAATTGAAAACTGGAATGTAGCCGAAAGCTGTACCAATCGAGGCAGCTGCATCGCCCACCGAGAGGAACAGAATGCCCAAAATCGCAAAATTGCTAGGTGCTGCAAGCATGGCGGCCAGTGCGCCCGGAAGGAAGTACGCAATCCCGGCTGCCTTGTTATGCTCCTTCTGTCGAATCAAGCCTTTGAAGGTTTTCAGGTACCAGGCCTGGACGGAGGGGACACAGAGACGCGCCGCCTCGATGACCCAACAAACCAAAGACACGGCCAGGAAGGCGGCACCAGCGTCCATCCCCGTACTTGCAGTGCTCTCGCTGTCGCCCAAGTAGGCCGGCTTTAAGACTTGATGCTTGATCCCCCAATGATAGCACACGCAGATGATGCAGCCACCTATCATGTGGAAGGCCTTCCTCTGAAACTCCACGAAAACCTTCTCCACGCGGCCACCTGCTTTTTTGGCGGACTTCCCAAACACTAAGTGGGTGATCAGCAAGCTCCCACCGATGCAGAATCCGCCAAAAATCAGTGTTTCTATCTTCCCTGTGTCCAACATCTCATTTTTGAGCGCGCTGCTCATTGTGAGCAGGTGAGCCCGAGGCTTCTGGTCACACTCTGCCCAAGGAACTACAATAGCTTGGGCCACATCCACCAGGCAAGAGCGTTGCACACCGCACACGAGCACGTTCTACTTGTGACCCCTCCTGGCCCCAAAAAAGTAGGTCTGGAGCGGTGCTTTCCCTGAAGAAGTTGGGATGCAAAGGCCGCAAGCTTGCCAACATCTCTTCCTCAAGGGCGGACTCTGCAAAGCAAGTGGCCCAGTGAAACAAGGCCGGGCCTTTGGCATCGATGATGTGCCACCATCCCTTCTCATCATGATGGCTTATAGCTTTGAGCGTCCTTGCGTGATATTCTCTTGGACAGGCTAAACCGAAACAACGAAGCAGCTGTCCGGTGAGGCCGGGCATCATCTGCTACCTGGCCGAGAAAAAGCATCCGGGACAAGTCTGCTCGGTGCGAATGCTCAGCCGACCCTGGGCATGTTGTAGTCCGGATATGGTTGCGAAGTCCACTGGTACTCTGCGAACGGGTTGATGACCTCCACAGAGGTCACTGCAGTCGAAAACGTGCAGCAGGCTCAGCAGGGCCTTTGCATCGCGGAAGCTCTGCCAGGTCCGAGATGGATCTGTCCTCACATTTCGACACGGCCGAGCCGGGCCACAGTTGCTGAAACCCTGATACAAGTATTTGTGCCGTCGCCGAAAGATGTGCACCCATGCATGTTAGCTCTGCCTGTTCCCATTGGAGAAAACAGGGAACAGTGAGAAGTATTTGAGTACTCCAGCTTCAAGATCTAGTGGCCAGTTGGTTCGAACCTGGGTCTTTAGCATTGGGGCACTTGACGGGGATCGAAGGCAAGGTGCTTGCCAATGCCTAAGCATCAGAAAACGCAAGGCGTCACACAATACGAAGCTCCTGCGAACTTTCCGCACCCATCGGGCAGCGGAACGGAACATGGCGACATGGAATGCAGAAAGCAATCGAGCCTATGGGGTATCGCTGCCAAGCTCTGAGACTCAGATCTGCTGGATCACTTTCCGCGTTGAGCTGGAAGGTGTCTACGGCAGCAGTGCTGGCTGCTGAAATTCGACGGTCGTCAGTTGAAAGCACCGAAACAGCACATCGACATTTCAGAGGTGACACAGAGCAGCCTTATGCAGCCTTGCATTACAATGTTTTGCCAGATGTCGCGGGTGGGATTCCACGTCAGGGCACACTTAGCTTGACACAGGACTTGGGCTAAACGATGCGATTGGCTGTTGTCTTGGCGGGGTTCATCCAGGGTGAACGAGATTCGTAAGAAACAACATCCACCTCAGCTTGAGGAAGTGGAGTCGATGCAAACGCGCTGTAGCGTCTGGTACACCCAGGGCAATGGTTGAATACCTGTCGGAAAGACTCGTTAAGCTCTCTGGCTGCTGCTTGTGCATCGAAGTTCAACCATGCTGCGTAGGTGTATGAAGCGATAATTTCAAATCTCGCAGCTAAGCTTTCACGTGGCTTTTGCACGGCACATTCACTCCTAGTGCAGACTAAAACTAGGAACTGAGTTGGTGTACAGTAGTAGACTGTAAAGTTGTGCAGTTAGCTGTATGATGCAGTACGCTCTACGGCAGACCGCATTCAGGGATGGCGCTCCCGATCACGCAGCGCCCTGCTACGGACCTGTGGTTTCAGCTGTACTAGCCTGACTCTTTGCATGGCATGTGCCCGGACACAGTCTCAATCTGGAGGTGTGCTGCCGGCCTGGTATGGGCCTGTTGTAGGTGCCTGCGAAAGACTGTCAAGGAGGGCACAGAAAGCCGGGAATCCCAGGCCCACACACCTGCTTCACCTTCCCCAATGGGTCTTCTAGCTTTGCCCTGAGGAAGGCTGACATCTTGAATCTTTGAGTCTATAACCGTTTATGGTGCTGCTTGATAGGTCCACTGCTGGGTCTTGTTAAGGTAGGTGCCTGTTTAGAAACCTGTGCAACTTTCCGGAGCCCCATCGAACCCCTTTCCGCAACCGCAAGACGCCTTGATGAAAGGTTTTCGGGTTCGGACTTGGATGCATGGCTCCGATGTGGTTACAGGCTGTCGATGCGGATCGTAGCATGCGTTTGAAATGATCTGGACAAATTTCTTAGTTAACGCATATTCGAGCGGGCTGTGCTGCTGCGCACATGACCTCGTGCTGCATCTCTCAGACAGATCGATCTGCTTGCAAGCCCGCTGCAAGTCGAGCAGATTCAGATTATTAGCTCAACATCCTGACAACTGGTTTTCACTCAAAGTGGTTTCGCTAGGATGCAAACAGGGGGCCTTTCCATCCATAGCTTTTCCTCCTTTGTCACCTTTCTCACCTCCACACTTCCACAATGCGGGGATGCAACGTGATTGGAAATGCGCAAAATCGTGATCTGCCTCCGTACTGCTGATTGCCCTTATTGCCTTTGCCATCTTTGCCGCGTTCCCTGACACAGGCCAACAGCCGGCCATGTCATACCCGAAACATGCGAGCATATGGGCGTCACAAGCACAAGCTGATGCCTTGGCACATTGAAGGTCGTACCGCGATCAGGCTTGAAAAAGACGGGACCACCAGCAGCTTCTGCACTCCTGTCTCCAGCTGAAGTCCCGAGCTAAATCGAGAGTCAAGGACTGCTTATGTCCGCCATCCAAACCTTCCCACGTGTCCTTGTGACCCAGCCCTTGATTCCAGGGATCGGGTCAATGGACTCAATGAACATGCGCGCAATGCCGTTCTTCAGCATCTGCCAAAGTCGCAGCAGACAGACATGTTTCAGAAAGCACCAGACGCAGAAGCACAGGCCCGCCTTGTCCTCCCCAACCTGAGCAACCAGGGAATTCCTCATGAGCGTGCCGACGATGTCAGTCTCCGTCTGGCGCAGGCTGACGTTTTGAAGCGTCGCATGTTCCGAACAGGCTGTGCTGGCTGTGAAGTGCTGAGGCACTCACCCCCAAGCCGACTCGCACGATGATGTCCTTATCATTCACGGCCCGCCATCGAAGCTGCCTGTCCAAGAGTTCGGATCTTCGAGCTCCCAGTCTTTGCAATCGTGGCCTGGAGCCCCGATATCTGTCTTTGAGGGCCTGCACCGTGTTCTGGCTGCTCGCTCTGCGACTCTGCACTCTGCAACGAAAAACTGGCCTCACCGCGTTCATCCTCCTCCTTGTCTTCCGTTCTATGTCCCTCCGGCTTGTAAGCATCACCTTTGTAACTGTCACCTGGAACTGCTGGCAGGAGCAGCTGGCTTCTGTTTCCTACCAGGATTTGTCCGTTGAAACGAACAGCATCAGGGAAGGCCGCCTTTGCCCGGATGATGGAAACCCTTCCCATCGTCTCCGAACTTGCCTTTACCTTTGTCCTCCTTTCCCCTGCCTGCTTGCAACGTTGGGTCAGTGAAGTCGAGAACTGCACATCCCTAACTCTGCATCTCTGGCTGTGATCGGCCTTTGCGATCGCCTTTTCCCTCTCCCTTGTGCATGTCGTAACCTCTTCCGTCGAAGCCCTTTCCATCGAAGCCTTTTCCATCAAAGCCTTTTCCATCGAATCCTTTGTTTGCATCAAAGCCTTTTCCTCATCACAGGGCCGCATCAAGTGTAACAACTCAAAAGGATGTGCCTCAACTGCTTTGGCCGTAAGGTCCGTACCATGACCTGTCGTCCTTCTTCCCGGTCGCACCTAATGCAGATTTGCTTGGGATTCTGGGTTGCTGCAAAGTAATCAATACACTGTCAAAAAGCTGCGGACCGTCGTGCATGAAAGATAATGATTCCTTGGCGATGCTCAGTTTCATCCAGGTGCAGCACTGTTTCGTTCTCCTTGGCCATCGCCACTAACTTGCTACCTGAGGGCGCAAAGATGCGCAGCACGGCATCTGCCACTCTGGACGGCCCCCGCCTTGATACACGGGCAAGAAGCCATCTTTCAGTTGCTGCTCATAGCTAGGACCATCCTGGCTCTGCCAATCGTCCCACCATCCGGGCTGATCCTTTGCCGGCAGATTGATGTGCAACTGCATGTATGCACTGTCCCCAAGGCATGGGCTCTGCGCCGATGCTCCCGGACAGGCTCTCTGGCTGGATCCCTAGGATTTTGATCACGGTCTTGTCGTTCCTTTTCGCGCCTGGAAACAGAGACAGAGAAAGAGAGAATGAGAGAGAAAGAGAGAGAAAGAGAGGCGAGTGGAGAGAGAGCTGCACTTCTACAGCCCTCAGAACAAATGCTCAGATTCCCACGTCTCGCGATCCCTGGCTTCTCGTTCCCGAGCATCTGGCAGGAATGTCTCAAAGAAGCGCTCGAGACTCAACGCAAACGGTCCTGTTAGTAGCCACTCCGCACTCAACAGTCTTCTGCAGTGACTTGCAGAGTGGAGTAGACAACTTGTCCGCCATGCCACTTAAAGCGACTGAAACCTGGACAGTGTCCTGTGACTGAGAACAAGTGTAACGACTTGTCAAAGCCAATGATATTAGCTGCAAGCCTGATCTGCCTGATCGGCCTTCCTGCGACTCAGAAGCCCGCGGTTTACAGGCTTGGAGCAGAGGTGCGGATGAAAGAATGGCATTTTCAATGCCATCAGAGAGTTTTGGATTTCACCTGGCATGCCACAATACGACGACCACAACACATAACCTGGCCTGACAAACCCGGGCTTGAAAATCTTCGGATGAGGTAACCACACGGAAGCAAAAATGAAAGCATGACAACCGAGGAAAGACGCGTCTTGTCAGGACAATGGCGGACATGCCGTCGACATCGGCTGCCCTGCGGTGCAGTTGCACTGCCTGGCTGAACCTTCGGAGGGGAAAGGTCGACCGAGGTGTAGAGTCAAGCTCTTTAGACAGGCGCTCTGATAGCGGCCACAGCCACAGGAGCCACAGGAAAGTCTGCAGCACAAAAAGGTGACGAAGCAGCTGCTGAAAAAAGCGACGTCTAAAATCCAAAATCATGCACTTGGAGAGCACAGGAGCACCTCCAACGCATGATCTCAGATCTGGCGCTGGAAATCTTTGAAGCACCGAGCCAGCAGACCTCTAGCTCAGCGCCCGGGCCTTCCTCTCTTCGCTTCTCCCTTTCGCGGCGCTCCCTCCTTAAGACGACAACCAGCACAGAGCAGTCAGGTTCATTCAAAAACGGCGTCGGTCCAAGGTCGCTTCTCTCTTATCTCTCGTTGGGCAGCATTGCGACGACCTTAGTTCAATCAAGCTTTTGGGATGCAGATGTCAGCCGATGGAGTCTGAAGCACCGCTTGCAGAAAACAGACAACGGCCGATTGGGCTTCTGCTTTTGCTGATGGCCCTGATTCGTTTGCCGCCCTGCGCCGCAGCTGTCTCAAGTGAACAACAGAAACGGTCGACCCGCAGCTGAACGAAGCAAGAACAAACCCGGCATTCGGGTCATCTTCCATTTCGTAGCGAGTCTTCTGCACATTGGACTCGTTGATCATTGCTAGAAGCCTGGCTGGAAGACCCGCAGACACCACTCAGAGCTTTGTCAGCTCAGGCCATGGCTTATCCTCGGTGGTGGTGGACAGGATGTCCTGGGCTCACTGGTTGCATACAGGCCTGGACTAGATATCTCCTTTCTGCAAGTCACGGCAAGCCAAGCGGCCGAATGTAACAGATCAGTCACGTTGACCCATCCATTGTCGTCAATGTTGACATTCACCTGGCACTCGAGACACACTGTTCGAGCAAGCCACCTTCCAAAGGGGCGAGTGTTGCAGGCAGAGCTCTGTTTTGTCCCGCTGTGTTCGGGTCCCTTGCCCGAAGCCCGAAGCTTGGCCGACATACACTCCTACACTTTCAAAGGGATCAAGCTTGCTGAACGAAAGTGGGGTCGCTCAATGTCACATTGCTAGCATTAAAGAATCAGAAAGCCCGGCAAGCGTACAGCATCTCCCAAGTGCTTCAGGCATGTCTTCGCAGGTTGCGCATGAGCACCTTCAGGAGTCATGTACTCCTTCATGCTCCACCACTACTTGCTAGCCATCCGGCTTGGCCGCGAGAGGCTCACACGCTTTTGACGAATCGGGCGGAATCACTTACTTTCTCATGGACGACTGCTGGCTATGTGCTTTGGACAGTGGAGACGAAGGCCGCTGCAGCGCTGAAGATACATCCACGTGAGAAGGACGCCTGCACAGGAGCTCTGCATGATTGGTTCACACTCGAAGGTACAAGCATAAGAAAGCCTGTCTCCGGCATGCTCCCGGGTGTAAGCTGTGCTGTGGGTATGAGACAATGGTGACAGCGGCGGGCGATGTCCTCGGTATGCTGCTCACACGTGGACAAAAGTCAAAGCACCTGTCAAGTCACACAACCTCCTGCAGCAAAGCGGCCCGAATCCGCAGACACTGTAGACCTGAAAACCAAGGCAATGTGCATTGGCTGGAGCATGTCCGCGCCCGTTGCATTTCGGTCACAGTGGCGGCCATCCTCAGTGCAAGGCAGTCTCCGTTGTTCAGGTTCTGGTCTCGTCCAAGTTGGATGGTCGGTGGCATGCGCCAATGATTTCGGCGACATCCCAGCACGGCCTACACACGGAGGTTCTTGTGCGCAAAGCTTCTGCCATTGCCAGGAGCAGTTGTCCGTCCTTCCTGGCTACCTGTGCTGCTGGTAGAATTCATTCTGGAGAAAGCTTGATGCAAGTCCTTGGTGTTTCTGATTCGAAATCTGCATTCCGCAGCACATGAAATGCAAGTAGGCACGGTAGAAAAAAGTCAAGATGCCACATGTCTCTGCTGTGGGCAATAGTCAATGGTGAAGCAGGTCTTGCTTTGCCGACAACCTCGCTGCACAGTGGCTCATGACTGTCTTCTCTTCACCTTCGCATCTGTCGCATGAAGTGATACCTCCTGCGCTCCACGCGGTTGGCTCGGGCGCCGCGAGTGGGCAGCTGCGAGAGGGGAAAGCGGCTCTTCCATGAGAGACGACGTGTGGTTGCAAGTTGCTCAGCTGCAGGAGGCTAGCACGAACCGATGCCATAACAGTAGAACGGAGTGCAAAGACTGAACTGTGGTGGCCCTTTTGTCTGCAACAAATCAGAGCCGAGGTTCGAGAGCTCAAGAGACGGCAGTGCTCAAACTGCGCAGAGCAGAAAGCGGTGGCGCCTTCTTGGCTCCGTGCCGGAGGATCCAAGAAATCTTCTTGGAGATCTCCGTGCGCTCGTCGTCCGTCGGTCTCAGCCTGGCGGCAAGGAGCCATCGCAAGGGAGAGGAGAGAGAAGAAAGACGACTCGTCTTGTCTCGCTGGTGCTTCTTAAAGCGCGACTTTTGGAAGCAGGCCGGCCGCTCGACATCTGCTGCTCCAAGCTGCGGGCGTTTTTGCCCTCAAGAGGGTAAGCAATGTGACGTGGTCGCCGCAACGCGCTCCACCCGGGCCTCTGGGGCATCTGATGCAGCAGGATGTGCCTGGCAAAAAAGACGATGCAAAGACTGTGCAGTTGGAAAACCCATTTCCCCCGGCCTGGTCCTGGTCCTGGTCCTGGTCCTGGTCGAGTAAATCATGACCGAGGGCCTGGGAGGCTTGCCATTCTTAGAACTGCACAAGGCTCCCTCGGGCCAGGATGCCTCTTCTTCGTCTTCTACTTGCGTTACCCCTTGGGGATCCTGAAGAGAACGGCCAGATGTGCGACTCTGAGAGAGCCCGTGCTCGCGGCCTCCGGGGCGGCATCTCGCCCGGAGCCCTCATCCAAGGGGGCCTGGCACTGCACAGACGCTCCAATTCGTCAGTGCTTGGCTTCACCCTGACGAATTCACCGGCTCACCGCATCTGCATCGTTTGATGGCTCCGGTTCCCGTGCTGGCACCGTCTCTATCTCTGCGGGGTCCACCTGACAATGGCAAGCATCTTACGCTCCATGAGTGTTGGGACCATCGGGTTTGGAATGTTGCAAATCAGGGTTGGGACACTGTTGAAAATTCTTTCTGTTAGGCGGGAGCCCTCCGACGGCCGTCTACTTGGCATCGGCTTCAGACAAAACTGGGCCTTGATCGATGCTTCTGTCGAGAGCTCTGCAACGGAAGCTAGCTGCTCCCCCTGCCAGTCTTGCACCAGAGTACAAGCGCCACACTGCAAAAACTTGGCGACACAAGTGCCTCATCAGCATTTCCCTTTGAAGGCTGAGAGGATGACCTGTTGCAACATGCAGGAGGAATGTCATACAGAGCATTCACAACAAGTGTCAAATCGAGCAGGTGAGAGAAGCTAAGCGTCCTGCGCTGGGCAGTCTCGGGGCTCCGCTGAATGCTCTTCTGAGGACTGCGCTGGCTCTTCCTCACGACGCGAAGCTCAGTCTCACATCGCAGCCGTGAGTCCGATCACCCGAAACTAGCTCATGCTGCTAAGACGACACACGATGATAACCTTCTCTTCTTGAAGCTGATTGCACGTTTCCCACCCGCATCCTGCACTTCAGTAACGACCCCTGGAACCAGGACCCAAGTGTTGAGCCCGGTCCTTTGGCGCAGGCTCTTCAGATTCTGCTGCAGCAGAGTGGCTGCCTCCTGAAGTATCCGCTCCCATCTAGAGAAACACCACCTGACACCACTACATGCCTTAGACTAGACCCCGCTGTGTGACGTGATGTGGCTTCCCAACAGAAGGCTAGGGCCCGAGCCCATAACACAAATGGACTTCCACTATTGACCTCAGTTTGCCCGCTTCCCGTCCGACACCATACAGGCACCTCTCGCAGATTCCCAGCAACTGCCAAGCCCAGTGCGCAATTGTCCGAATCACTACTGGCTGAAAAAAATGAGCCATGACAGCTGCAGCAAAACACTTCAGAAACTCTGAAGCTCAGTCTCGAGGATCGCAAGGTACAGCACAAGCCATGAGCTCATCTGACTGCCCGATGAGACTCTGAGAGCTATTTCAAACACGGCTGAAGGCCCCATCTTGCTGTCTTCGAGCGAGGCAAGAGTCGTGGTCTCAAGCCCAGCGAAATACTACACATGCACAGGCTCTGCACAGCCTCAGAACTCTGGTTGCTCAGGTATCTTGTCATGAAAGTGTAGAGTCTGTGCAAACCAATGCAATCTGCAGATGCCGCACGGCACGCTGGAGTGGCACCAACGCCAAAAAAAGACGATAAATTTACATCATCACGAACAGCTAGTATCATTGCGCACTCATTTCTGCAGGGCCTGTACGCGGTGAAGCTCTTGCTTTGGAACTTTGCAAATGTCCATGCCCGAAAGGTCAGTTCCCATGCAAGTTTCCCTCTCCAGTGTGCGACCCTCAAATGGCACCCAAGGTGTCACATCCAATTAGGGGCCGCCGTTTCTTCATGTCCACTGGGGGCCACAGCACGGAGCCTGCAGCAGCGTTTGCAGCGGCGGGGGGAGCAGTGGTCGCTTCACTGCCCTGGGAGTCGACAGAACTCAGCGACACTGCGGCTTCCGGATCTGGGTTACCTGGGTTGCTGGCCGCACGGCCTTGGTGCTGGGAGGTCGCTTAAGCTAACTGCAGCTCCCACCCCGTCCGGGGAGGTGACCTGTCGGGCCAGCCATTTCCGTCGAACCGGCCTGAACTTGTCAGGACGAGATCGAAACGTGGCAGAATCGGCACAGCACTCGGGGCCTTGGGCGCTGCTTTCCTTGGATTGGCACCATCTTCGTCCTGTCTGCTCGAGGTGGCTTGACGCTTCGGGATCGTAGCCCGAAAGGTGTCTTGGCCGGTTCGAGAGTTCTTGACAAATTTGGAGCTGCGGGGGACACAAAATGGGCCCCGAGTGACGACCCTCGGCCCTCAGCTAGAGCGTGTCCAACACGACTACCTTCAAATTTCCCTTCTCGAGGATTTAAAAAGTGAGGTATATGTTCGCGCTTCAGTAGCTGCTGCTGCCTTCGCCTTCTTCTTGGCAGACGATCTTGGCTTTGCTCCACCCTTTCGAGCGCATGCTTGATGCACGCGCTTCTCCCATGCACATCGCGCCTTGGCAACGCTTGCAGGTGGAGGGCCCGGAGGTTTCCCATCCAGAGTGGCCAGATCGCGTGCCTGCACGCTGGGAGCTCACGTCGGAACTGCAGCTACAATGTGGACATGTCCTGCCTGAGGCATACCAAACTTGTTCATCTCAACTGTGTAGGTTACCTGCACGAGACTTGGATCAAGCAGGTCGCTTCCGCTGGCCTCCGGATCGGCGTGGCCTCAGTCCCAACCTTGAGGTTGCCAATCTGTGCCTTGTGGAGGAAGACGTCCCTCAGTCAATGTGTCCAATGACGAAGAGTGTCAGGCAAAGCCACGCTTCAGCTGCCGTCCTGCCGAAGATTGCGAATGCCTCTGAGTTTTCTATGAAGCCGAATCCTTGCTTCGCATTGAACGACCTCCGCAAAGCCAGAATGTCAAGCTGCAGCAGCCTTGCTTTGTCAGTGAATAGGTTCCAGGCTTTATTCTGCCACGGAAGCGCGTGTTGTTCCCTGATGATGCAGCTGCGATTCTACGATGAACACATAGCGGCATCTACAAACTCTGCGGTGCAGTGGATGCCCATGAGGTCTCGGCCGGCAGCAGCTGAAGCTACCGGTACCAGGTGCAACTGTGCACCAGGAAACGTCTGCATGGGCTGCCTGAGGCAGACTGCATCACTAAGGAAACCATCCGTGTTCGTTGCATTGCTACTTTACCTTGTTTCTGCTTGATGCCTCTTACGCTCTAGGTTGCAGAAAGGGCTGGACTCCTCCGGATCGGAACAGGGAATCATAGGAGCAGACGGCGAAGTGCACTATACAACGGCAGACCGAGCTTTCGAGCCTGGTATCGCATCAACTGCGGAGTTGCAGAGACTCAGGCTGTTGAGGGGGGTCAGGGCTTCCGCATGGAACTGCGCACACCACAGGCACAGAGCCAGGGCTTTGTGCCTGGCACGCCAATACCTTTTACCTGTAAACTGTAATGAGAGCGACGTAATGCCACGTAATGTAGCGAACTCACTTGCATCGCTTGCCAAGTTTCAGGCCTTCGACCCGGAAAGAGGGACCGAAGGTGCAACAGTAAAGTGGCTGAGGCCACGGCAGGATCATCCCTTGTCCCTGGAAGCCAGGGTATGCAAAGCCTCACAAATAGGCAGTATCTGTTGAGCGCACGGGTGGACACAGCCCTTCTTGCCTTGCCCATCAACGGCACAGCCCTGTGCCATGACCTTGCGTGCATTCCGCATCTATGACATCCTTCAGTCGGCTTTAAGCTCTACAGTATTTTAGCGATCACGGACAATGCCGAAGCATTTCGCACTACGCTGAAGCTCCGGCAGCTTCTGTGGAGGCACCAGGCGCACCTGCGACAGCTCAAGAACGCGACCAACTAAGCAACTCCACTCCCTCCTGGCAACTTGGCACACCATCGTGCCTTGCACCATACGAGGCATTGTCGACCTGGAGGAGTACACAACCACCATCCCTCTGCTTTAGTTGCTTTTTGCGCACTTTCTCTGGCTGCAAGAGTCTGTGGCAGGAGCATTGCCACAACGTTGCCCGGCATGCCACCGGTCTGCATTCCACCTTATCGCTGGCTGGGCACAAACCAACCTGACGCTACCCAGCGCAAGCACTTGCCACTGCAATGTCCTGCAAGTTACAGCCAAACGAGACGAAGCCGCCGGACATGCCGGGGGCTGAGTTTATGGGCCGCATGCCACCACTCCTGACCAAAGAAAAAAGCTATCGGGCACTTTTACTGCCGTTGCAATGTACCAGCTCGGTGCTCCACTTTGAAAACATGCCAGTCCTAAAACCTCGCAGGAATCACAAGAAGAACCAGCACAGCCGAGGAACATCGGCACTCCGTCTAGCAGCTCCCCCGGTATTCCTCGACAACCGAACGAGCATGTCGAACACCCGATTCGAAACAGAATCGTCGATTGGATTCTCTTCCAAGCACGAGGCCGCAAGCTTACGCCTTAGGCCCTCGCCCATCACTCCATTCCCCACAGCACCCTCGGCAGACGCGCAACATTGAAGAATCTACGAATTTGCGGCTGGGGGGACTCAGGGAGTTTGCTTCTGGTGACAGAGCACTGAACGGTAACACGCGACTTGATCCAAGGTGTCTGGCCCACGACTTCGACTATGGTTTTGCTGAGGCCATCGGCACCGTCGACGCCGTTCGCTCCCCAGAATCTGCACCTTCACAAGTTGGCTGCGTGTCCTTGCCTAGCTCACCATGCCAGCTGCAAAAGAAGGACCCTCCCATCTGCGACATGTCGGCCGCAAGATACGGAGACTCTTCGGAAGGCCTCCTCAACCAGGGTCTGCACAAGAGACGAGCAAACCCAAAATTGTGCAGTCAATCGCGTCGGCACCGAATCTCAAAGACCCCAGTCGTTTTCAATAAGGGCGTTCAGACTGGACGAACCGACCCCCTCAAATCGGTTGGCACGTAAGCTTGCATTGCAGAAATGACTGTGGCTGCCACGGGGCAACGTAACTCACAAGCAGAGGGAGCTTGAAAAAACGACATTCAGAAATTGAGAACCGCACATTGAAAGACACAGACACCCAAGCCCTAAGCCCGATAATCTAGACCTCTACACCCCAAACTCCGAACCCTTGTTCGGCCAAGCCCGGTCGTATGACAACCATGGATGGAGTTCGCTCTTGCACGGGCACGGGGTGTAGGGACTTCCTATGCCCCTGACCCCGAGTGAAGTGAAGTGAAGTGGTCTCTTTTGTAGACATGTTGGCCTAAGCCGTAGATGCTCAAGCTCCGCCACTCCTCGACTTCCGTTGTGCTTTTAAGGAGCCTAGCGTCCGCCGCAGCCATAAAATCATCGTGAAGTCCGTCGCTCTACTTCACACGTGTCTGGTGTGATGGCTGTTGAGGGTTAGTTCGTTGCGCTATTCCTCGATGGGAAGATTACACTGCGAGAGGGAGTTTGTCAAGCCCGTGCAGTGCAGACCGTAGACTCCGCAGACCTGTGCGTCTTCACCACAGCTCTCCTCGTGGGCTTTAGATTTTGGACCGTGGCCCGGGGAGCACGAGCCAAAAGGATATACTTCTTGCCGACTCGGAGAAACAAAGTATATGAGGACAAGTTCTGCCGTCTACATTGAGCGCCTCATCTTTGCCCGCTTGTCGGGGGAGGATGACAACTTGTTCCACAAGACCAGCAAGCATTGTGCTCGCGTGATCGTCCGGTCGTGAGGTTCTCTTTACTATGAGAGGGTCCGACCACTGTCCGACCATGCCTCACCGTCGTGTTTGTTCCACTCTGGACCAAGACGACCAGTGCGCGACTGCGTGCCTGGGGGGTAGAGTTTCTGCTCTCTTTTGTTACGTTGAAGAAGATAGAAACTCTGGAGAAGAGCTTTGCTCAATGTAGTATGAACACCGGGGGGGGACTCCTCCGGCGAACCCTGACGACAATGCGGAGGAGGCCGCGATGATTGAAGCGTAGGTGAAGGGCCAAGTTAAGGGAGGATACGAGACCTCAGCAATCGAAGCAGACGAGACGCCACAACATGAAGAGGTCCTGGTTGGAGGGATACACGTTCACCAGAAGTGGCGAAGATCCCGCCCTGCTGACCATTGACAGCGTCATTTCTCCGAGCAGAGGTGGTCCGCGCTGACCCGACCCGACACCGCTACGTCACAAGCAGCGCTCGCAACCAACCTGGAGCGAGAAAAAGCAGCGACGATGCAAGTGAAGCTGCGGCAAAGACGGCGAGTGACGGCTAGTGAGTGAAGCAGAAGTGTCGAACCGCGCGCGTCCCTGCTGCACTTTTGCTCTTGTCGCTGCAGGCCACGGGGGACATGCTGGGGCCCTTTAACCCACTGTCAAGTTGCAAATCATGTAACAAGTTTCGCACGGGAACAATGCTGGCCCAGCCGATCCTTTTGAAAACTAGAAGACAAGTGGCCCGAAAGCATCATTTGCGAAGAGTTTAACGCTATGTAAAGTCAGAGAGTGAAGTACGAAAAGTCATAGAGTCAAGTGCACAGTTTGAGTACAGAGAATCTAGTGCATAGAGTCATATTGTCACAGAGTGAA